TTTCTTCTCGCCTTCTTTTTTGATTAGGTTCTCCTTTCCTATAGGTCGATTATGAGTAACAACTCTGAACACGTCATCACTTTCACTTCTCACAGACAGTTCCGGCTCAGAGAGAGCCGAAGCCGTCGCCATGATTGGCCTCCCAGAAAAGGCGGGAAATTTGAATGCCGTCGCACGTGCTATATTAGGTTAGAAGGTGCAGGATTGTGTTAGAAGCCCACAAAATAATTGCTTACCTACAGAAATAATCCAAATTCATAAATCTTTCCAAATGCTACCATTTGAATTCCAAAGTACGTTTCAAAGATAATTCCAAATATTTCGGTATATTCCGAGAGAGAACCAAAGACACGTCCGTCACACGTGGCAAACGTGGCTGATCCTGAAAACTATGGTGGCCCTGAAGGGACATCGCGAATAGACTGAATCGTGAAAAATATGCGATAAAATTCACGATATCGTCAATTTTATCGCATATTTTTCACGAAGAAATTCACGAAATTGACGATATCGTGAACTTTATCGTGAACTTTTCACGATGAAATTGACGATATCGTGAATTTTATCGTGAAAAGTTCACGATATAAAGTTCACGATATCGTCAATTTTATCGTGTACTCTATCGTGTACTCTATCGTGTACTCTATCGTGTACTCTCCTGACGGGCGCTTCGTAAACAAAACCAGCCCTAGCTGGGGGAGACAGAGAGAAGGAAAAAAGGGAAAGGGAAAGAGAAGATAAAAGGAAAGAAAGAATAAGAAGAAGAAAAGAGGGAAACGGGGGGGGGGGGGAAGGGCTCTTGCCTCCTCCTCACTCCCCCCCCCCCGCCAAAAAATAAATAAGGAGAGAGAGAAGGGAAAGGGAAAGGGAAAGAAAATATAAAAGGAAAGAAAGAAGAGGAAGAAGGAAAGAGGGAAACGGGGGAAGGGCGAAAGGCTCTTACCTCCCCCCCCCCCCGCCAAAAAAATTAATAAGAGAGAGAGAGAGAGAGAGAGAGAAGGGAAAGGGAAAGAAAGAAGAGGAATAAGAGGGAAACAGGGGAAGGGCGAAGGGCTCTTGCCTCCTCCCCCCCCCCCGCCAAAAATAAATAAGAGAGAGAAGGGAAATGGAAAGAAAATATAAAAGGAAGAAAGAAGAGGAAGAAGGAGAAGAAAAGAGGGAAACGGGGGCGAAGGGCTCTTGCATCCCCCCGCCCAAAAAATAAATAAGAGAGAGAGAGAGAGAAGGGAAAGGGAAAGAGAATAAAAAAGGAAAGGAAGAAGAATAAGAAGAAAAGAGGGGCTCTTGCCTCCTCCCCCCTCCCGCGCCAACAAATAAATAGGAGAGAGAGAGAGAGATAGAGAGAGAAGGGAAAGGGAAAGGGAAAGAAAATATAAAAGGAAAGAAAGAAGAAGAAGACGGAAAGAGGGAAACGGGTGAAGGGCGAAAGGCTCTTACCTCCCCCTCCCCCCTCCCGCCATAAAGGGAAAGAGAAGGGAGAGGGAAAGAAAATATAAAAGGAAAGAAAAGAGGAAAAAGAATAAGAAAAGAGGGAAACAGGGGCGAAGGGCTCTTGCCTCCTTTCTTTTCTTTCTTTTCCTTTCTTTCCTATTCTCCCTCTTTTTCGTTTTTATATTTCTTCTCTTTCCCTTTCCTTCTCTCTCTCTCTCTTATTTATTTTTTGGCGGGGGGCGGGGGGACGAGGCAAAAGCCCTTTGCCCCCGTTTCCCTCTTTTCTTCTTCTTCCTCTTCTTTCTTTCCTTTTATCTTCTCTTTCCCTTTCCCTTTCCCTTCTCTCTCTCTCTCTCTGATTTATTTTTTGGCGGGGGGGGGGGGGGGGAAGGGGAGGCAAGAGTCCTTCGCCCTTCCCCCGTTTTCCTCTTTTCTTCTTCTTCCTCTTCTTTCTTTACTTTTATCTTCATTTTCCCTTTCCCTTTCCCTTCTCTCTCTCTCTCTGATTTATTTTTGGCGGGGAGGGGGGGGGGGGGGGGGAGTGAGGAGGAGGCAAGAGCCCTTCGCCCCCCCCCCGTTTCCCTCTTTTCTTCTTCTTATTCTTTCTTTCCTTTTATCTTCTCTTTCCCTTTCCCTTTTTTCCTTCTCTCTGTCTCCCCCAGCTAGGGCTGGTTTTGTTTACGAAGCGCCCGTCAGGAGAGTACACGATAGAGTACACGATAGAGTACACGATAAAATTGACGATATCGTGAACTTTATATCGTGAACTTTTCACGATAAAATTCACGATATCGTCAATTTCATCGTGAAAAGTTCACGATAAAGTTCACGATATCGTCAATTTCGTGAATTTCTTCGTGAAAAATATGCGATAAAATTGACGATATCGTGAATTTTATCGCATATTTTTCACGATTTAGTCTATTCGCGATGTCCCTTCAGGGCCACCATACAAAACCGAGGCTCAAAACTGCAAAACTATCTCCCGAATCTTGCTCGCTCCGGAGCAAACCCGGAGCGCCACGTCGATGTTAGCATAAAGCGTCAGCTGGTGGTGGGGTGAGGTGAGAAATGAGGACGAGTTCTAATTAGGCCAACTTCATTACACATTCTCGATTCTCTTGGGCAATATTGCCTACAGTTTATTATCCATGCAGCAGGAAATTGACAGGCTACAATTTTTCTAAACCCCACCTTAGTAGAAAGAGAGAAAGAAAAGGGAAATGACGGGAATCGAAGAAAGAATGAAACTAATAAGAAACAAAGAAGGGGGGGGGGGGGGGGGGGGAGAAAGTTATATTTTGAATTAATCCCCATATTAATTAAGCTTGTAACTCATAATATAACAATAACAAAACATCTAAAAGGCAGCCAATGAATTATAATTGAACAACCAAAAATAAACTTACACTCTCACTTCCTCATCATTCATTCATGATCACTCATTCACTCACTCCATTTATTTATCCATCACTTCATCAGTTTATATTATATACTCTTTCCATCAATTTCTTTCTTTCTCCATTTATATGTTACTCACATCTCATTAACTTATTTCAAATGGTAACCAGGTGGTTCCTGGATTCAAATTTAATTGACCTATGGGGAAAGGGATAATTTAGTAGATATAGTTGATCAAAGAGGTTAAAAATATTTTTTGTTTTTGGTGTAAGGTTGAATTTTACTCATGGATACTTGTTTGATTTACATTTAGTTTTCCATACTCTCATCATCTTACCTACATTCCTTCTCCTTTTTCTATATCCTTTATACTTCTTTTCTTTTGTCATTACCCATTCAACATTGCCTACCTTGGCAACCCCCCTCTCTCTCTGTCTCTCTCTCTCTCTCATGAATATTCAACCTTTGACTCACTAGAAACCTGACATACCCTCTTCCTCTCCATTTGTTACTTCACTTCTTGCAAACTTGTGATTAGTCATTATTACTTTTATATTGTAAACATCTCAGCCATCTTGGAGGCCATCTGGGAAAATATATTCAAATAAAATGTCAGTACACCTCAAGTTTTTAATCATGTAGGACTGATTTGTTGTAAGTCTTTCACTTATTTATTCAAGCAACCTCTTTATTAAGGGTGAGATTAGATGTCTCTCGATCATGGTAGTATCAGGACCATATAAGTATACATTCCCAAGATAAGTACTTTCTTCAACATTGAGTAATATATACATACGTCAGACTTCAAATCTATTGTCTGATCCATTTTTATATCAAATACAAGCATCAACTCCATTGCTGCCAGTTCTTAGCAGTAACAGTTAACAACTAAATTATTCATACCACTTGTAAATGTAATGTTGTTTTTTTTTTTAAAACTCAACAATGAAAGGTGTATGGGTTAAATAAGTGCCTTTGTTAACTACTTTTAGATGTAATTTTTTACTATGTCACACACATTCTCAAGAAACATAAATCAGGACAAATAAATTGTTAACATACAAACTACAAAACTTGGTAAGGGTATGAATAACTTAGTTGTTAACTGTACATATTATTAAGCATGTGTTTAAGTTACCATGATAAACTTCAAATGAAATACAAAAATATTAATAATTTTGTTATACGTGAATGAATAAGACGACAGTAGTAATAAACTGATGTGATTCCTTTCATTCATTTGGTAGAAAGTTATCAATACTGGCAGCAATTTTAAAAGTTTTTAATGTAAAGGTACATGATTACAAACTACTCTGTTCCACTACAGCAGAAAATCTAAATTTCAAAGAGACTACCTACATGTAGTACCTACACAGAAGAATGCTTATGTATGGCAAAAATAATGAACACTAGATGATGGACTGAAAATAAATATACAAATATACACAATTTATACATTCATACACTGAGAACATAAAAATGTAAGGAATATATACAATTCAGTTACATGTATGAATTGACGGCTACAAAATTGTAATTCAGAATGTGGATCGTTGAAGAAAAAAAGTTTTGAAATAATCAATAGACAATGGTCATCATATTTCAGCAAAAGGAGATGCATCCAATCGAAAAATGCCATTCAACAGATGTTGGATGTGTGAGCTTTCAGATCACTGGACAGATCGACTGGACAGATCAATGGTGAAAGTTAACAGCGGTGATTCAAGCAAGCCGGGAAAGATCACAGAATATCCTAGACTGGATTCCTTCCATTTTCAATGTTCCAAACATGATTGCTATTGCAGGATTCAATGATTTATCTCTTAACAGTACTGGTGAAGCACATTGGTCCACGATAAATACGATATCAAGTGCCTACTACTCATTAAATATTGTACAATAGTTTACATTCTAGAACTTTCCAACTAAGTTACTGAAATGATTAAAATACAGATATTTTAATAAAATGTGTATCACATTTCTATCAACTAATTATTTTTCACAGGTGTACCAGTATACTACTCATATCAATCATTAATAATAATAATAATAATAATAGCTCACATTTATAATGCGCTTAAAACTATGTTTATAGGCGCGGAACATATTATTACCCCGGTCATCGGATTCAGGCTTACCAGCAAACAAGGTATGCACATTCTCCACTCCCTGGGGAGCATTCCAGCCAGTCGCCATTTTACAAGCGCCATTGCTAATCAAACCACATTAGCTTTCGCATCCTACCGGGTACCCATTTTAACACCTGGATCTCCAGAAAATTCTCTCATTATTCCTGGAATATGTATATTAAGGATAGACATCTTTTAATACTTATATGTTAATTGATGACATAATTACAGACTGGTGTTTGTCAGTAACGTTCATATATTTTGCAATATACTGATGAATTGGACACATAATGGAGAAGACCGCACAATTGCTAAAGCCTAAAAGCACAGATATGCACATCATCCCCTGGTGGGTGGGGGGGGGGGGGGGGGGGAGGGGACTACTTTCCCCACCCCATCACCTACCAATGGAATGGAATTAAAAGCATTCCATCTTTCATGAAGAAGAAAAACACATGTACATGTACATACCTGTATAACTGCTACTTATGATGACATTCTCAAATGTTTGGTTATACTCACTCTGTTGACTGACTGACTGTACATGACTACTAGAAATTCATTATACTTGTATACAAATAATCAGTAAACCTACTCAGCTTTAAAGCCCCACTGCACTACTTATAGCTACTTGCGCCGTCTATAGAGTAAACAATGCCTAATCGGTGACCATTGGTCCCCTATGGTCTCCTATGCGAGAGCTGATTTGATGAGATTACCACCTGCCAATGCTGGGAGGTCTAATCCCTCGTGGCCAAACGAGTACAGAAGGGCTTTAAGTCATTTCTGAAGGACTGTGTAACCAATGAGAAATGCCTCACCAAAGGGACCTTGCACATTGACTTGGTTCATACCTCAGACCTCCTGGTTCCGAGATCACTTCTCTATCACTGAGCTGTCGCGTCTCCTTCATACAGAGATTGCATGCAGTCTGCACAAAAAAAGGCTTCACTCTTACCAAAACATACACAACCCAACAAAAAGCCAGCATCTGCATCATCCAATTCTCCCTCATTGTATTAAGAATTTAACATTTGGTTCTTCATCCTTCTTCCTCTAAGGATGCACTAAGAATATAGAGTATCCTTATATTCCTGCTACTACTAATATTACAATAGAAAGTGGATAATAATGAAAGTGTGCTATCTTGTCTTTGCATCTTCTTCCTCCATTTCATCTGAGGAAGATGATGAAGAAGATGATGTTGTTGATCTTGAGTGGGGTGGTTTGCCAGTATTGAATTCCATGTGCCCCCATTTCTTCTGATCCAGGGCTAGGAATTTCTGGATTATTTTTGCTATCACCTCGTGATCACTGCAAAAAATTGAACAAGAGACAGATTATCACAAATGGATATATCAATAAGGAGCAGAGAAATGATAAAACTTTGAAAAGCTAAAATGCAATGATGATCCAATGTATAGCCTGTCTCTGTTTTAACAATAGTACAACCCCTAGTACAGGGATCAGTAAATCTTGTAAGAAAGATGGTTTTCTTGATAAAAATAATCTTCACAGTGGACTATGGATTTCTGAAGAAAGTTCTAATTTCACACTGATTTTAAATGGACAAAGTTTGACTGGAAATCACTGTCAGACAGAATCAGTTGAGAGGCTTTTCAGTACCTGTACTTGCTAAAGACATATCATACAAGAGTCAATAAAACCTTATCTAACAACTCTCTCATAAACCAATATTACAATTAGACAAATTTAGAAATAATGTCCTCTGTGTGTACTGATATGACCTATTAATGGACTGTGTGCACTTTATTTTGCTATTTGTTGACTACAAGATGACGTCAACATCACAAAAGTAACTTTACCTGGGTGACAAAGTGCACTGGAATAGTATCCTTAGAAATCTAAATAAGCAGGAGACAATGTCATCTCAAATTTAATTTATAGAATATGGGCACGCGGTGTAAATTAAAAAAGCCAGCCAGTCTGTGCCTTGTGTGAAGTATTACAGGAGTATGAGTATTGAGTAGGCCTAATACAAGAGATTCATGTCTCCTTAGATCAAGATAGTTATGTAAAGTTCCTTAATTAAATTATAATAAATTAAATTAAATTAAATTAAATTAAGTTAAATTAAATCAAAACCAAGATTAAAATTAAGATTAAGATTAAGAATACAAGAGTTAAATAGTAATATTACCTTCCATCCCCAAGAGTGCACTTCTCCGTCAGAGGCAAGGTATAGCCAGCACTGAAGTACAGCATGACAAGGCGCCCCCTACCAAAGAATCTGATGTCTTCTGCCTCTACCTCAGCTTTCACTATACTGGAGGACTCGGCTATAACTAAATGAACATAATTTAAAAAAAACACCAAACTTTCATATTACATGAAATTTTACACTCCTTCACTAGGACACAACAATATGTTATTAGATATCATGCAAATCTGCTTACCACTTGGTATTCAAATCTCTCTGATAATCTAGTGATATTTGATTGTTCAAAACATTTCAATTTCTTTTGAAAGTAATATTTGGACAATGACTCCTTCTTTAATCATGCGTCCTGTCAATTTGATGGTAACTTTTAAGCATGTGAGGTCAGTACCGAGACATAAATAATGAGATCTGACTGATACATGATTAGACAGACACACAATCTTTTTCTAATGTCCTTTGGCAAGACATTAATCTACATTTGCCACACTCAACCCAGGTGAGGTAAATTGGTACCTGGTAGGATTATTCCTTGAAATGCACTGTGCGCTGATTACGACTGCCGGAGCTAAAGCTAGGGTAATAACTTCCAAAGCTCAAAGATGGAAGCGCATAGATATGTTATATCATAATGTATTATGCGCTATACAAGAACTATATTAGTTGAATAAGTTGAAAAATTATTAGTTGACACTCACCTTGGCGCTGATTTTGTTTTGGTCTCAGGATCTTCTCGACCAGACTGAACCTCTTCAAAAGAATGTCTCCATCTTTCTCAATGATGCATTCCTGATGATGTAAAACAAGTAATGTAATGTATTATGATCAATACAGTAATATATCTGAATCAAATATTAAGTTGCGAGTGCTTTACATCACAGCTGACCTACATACATATATATCAAGACAGAACTTGGGCTCTTTGATTTTGTTAGCCTCAAAGATCCCCCCATCCCCCCCCCCCCCCCCCCCCCCCATCCTGAACTCTGGAAAACAAGTTTAATCAATAAGCAAACAAAATTTGCAAGAAATTTTTAATTCTATAATCACATCAACTTTTGTTAAGTAATTTTAAACAAACAAACAACATAAAAGCTTCACTAATGGAGTCAGTATCCTGTTGGATGTAGCATGCGGTGTAAGCGAATAAATTTCAAAATGAGAGAGGTGCCCTACCCTACATCTCCTTCTATTGATGTTCATCATACTTGCTAAAAATGTTATAGTGAATAAGAATATATTACCTCCCAGTCATCTAGAGAACATATGGCCACAAATCCACAGCAGAAGAGACAAAAGGATTTCCACAGCCAATCGTCATGTGAGAAGATTACCATGCCTCCACCTATAGCAAGAATACCTGATAAATGAAAGAAGACAAATCAATCTTTAATAGTATTACCTTTCATATCATATTTACATTTTGTGATGTATATATGTAAAATTGATTGTGATTATTGTTTAAAGAGAAGGTTGAGTTCTGGGAAGAGGTGAAAAATAATTTGTGAGCATCATCATTCTTATTATGCAAGTGTGGAAGAACATCAGATAAGACATGTTTCCTGAAAAGCATGGCTCTTCAAATGCCTTCATATTCTAAATATGCATGTAACAACGTAAAAATCAGGGGGCCGGCTTTTTACGCCACATGTTCGTCTAGTCCCATATACATCTTTCTGTGCAAGTGTTTGTAACTTTATCAAGGCTTGGCCAAATTTCTTATCATTTTGATGATTCCAGAACCTTGCATTACACACACATTTTTATATGCTAGATGATCAACCTTTTCTGGTCGGTTCCACACTGTTTCTTTCACAATGCAATCGCATGACCAAAACTCAACTTCATCTTTTAGTTGGGAATTTGCACTACGCCTGTTTGTAAAATCAGCTCCTTATATTTTTGTTCTGGGAAATAAAGACACGATCCAGCAAAAGACTTTGCCTTTTTTTATAACAAAATCATATTTGATAAAGAAGAAAACATTATACCATTACATGTATGTTGCTTGTTTATCTAGTGGAAATGATAAGAAAGCAGTGAATGATTTATCTTTAGGAAAAATTGGATTGAAATCAATTATCAAAGGACAAAGCTGCCACTTTATCTGAGTGAACGACATTGAAATATATATATATATATTTTTAAAAACTTTACTGATGAATTTAAGAACAAATTATGTTAAACTGCAGGAGAAAGAAATTTTGCACCGTTACAATTCATTAAATGTCTTTTGAGACGATAAGCCACTCACCAAAAAAAGTAGCCCAAGCTCGAAAGCCAGGTGACCTTGCCAAGTGCAACATCTTGTCATTGTGAGCGACAACTGACATGTAAGCCATCTTGCAGTATGAGATGTAAGTTGTTACTAGACTTATTTAAACTTCCACTTCCACTTGTAGTTGAACCACCTGAATTTTAAGGAAAGTCAATGTAGATCTAGATTAGTCTACATCTGCTCTCTAGATAAAGATGATATGTCACTCCACTGTAGTCTGTACTGAACTTTAAGTTTAAGCTGAAATGATGTGATACAACTCAGTCAAATTCGGCTGGACATGTTTTATACAGGTGTGTGACTTTGTATATTTTGCCATGCACAATCCACTGCACGGACTTGATTGAATTGTCTTCTGCATTCACTTCCTTGTTCCTTGCATGACCGGGCAGTTCACATTCACCTCAGCCAGGTCTCAGGCAGCATGAGCTCTTCTCCAAACATAACACTTATTAAAAAAAAGTTCGTCTAGATCTAGATCTAGGCCTACACCTATTTCCTTGTTATCAACCTTTAACCCAATGGAGGGAACAATGCACTGTGGACATACAAAAGCTGCACAGTACTGTAGCTCTCATCTCATACCAGGTGATGTGCCAATTTTGCAAGGGGGGAATTCCCTTTTATGGAGTAAAGATCTCATGTCTTAAAATTCGTTATATGAAAATTTTTACCTCTATTCGTGATAGATCCGAACTAATAAATATATATTGCGATATTTCATTTTATTTTATATTTTGTTTGCATAAAATTAATTATATTTTTGGAATATTTTGGAACAAAGCACTCAGCCTCGCCCTTAACCCATCTTTATTTTGAGCAGAATCAATGAGCCGATAGTGCGACAGGCTCTGGTCAACTAACTACGCCGCGACTAGCCGAGCAGCCCGCAGACAGCTACCCGGCCGAGGCCGATCCATCTAGAACACTCCACCGTACTACTTGCCGCACTGTCATTGCTGAGCTTTGTGATACGATCTATTCGAGTTAGCAAGACTATCTTGGATTTTGGTCTAGACCCTATATAAAACTTTCTTTTCTTGGTGCAAAGTCATGGCTCACTTTAGTGGAGCACTGAAGCTTGCTGATCTCGATGACTTCATCACTCCATCGCAGGTAGATCAGAATATATTTTTATTTTTATTTTTAAAAACTGTTAGATCTATGTTTAGTTTCGTACTTTAGAGTTTAGTTTATGATATTGTCATGATTGTAGGTCAATTTTTTTCTCTCAATATTCTCAGGAAAACGACCTTACTGACATTTAAACAGGTTATGAACACTAATTTGCGTTGTGTGTCCAGGCCAGACAGGTTGTGTATCTGGACAGTTGATTTAAATTAAAACAGCGATTTTGAAAAACCTAACAAGCAATATTTCATAAATCATTGAAGACTTAACAGTCACTTAAGTTAGCAAATATTTTAAAGGACAATACGTTCACGATGTTTGGTGTTACTCGATGAATATTTCTTGTTAGATCCGAAGGAAAGAGGAAAGGCTTTATTTATGTTTTTACATTATGTCTGTACGTGCAATGCGGCATGCGATCGCAATGATTACACAGTAATTGTATCCTTTTTGCTGTGGTTGCCTAAAATCTAAAAGACGAATTATGATCATGCCATGTAAGACAGAGCTTTACAAACCTGTCTATGAAATAATGTGGACTTCATTGTCTTCTGCAACTGGTAAACTATATCCAAACAAAGTACATTCAAGTTATCATTCTTTAATATTGCAAAGCAGGAAGAATATGGACCAAAACTGGGCAAATTTTTTACCTGTTTTCTCATCCTGAAATGATACAGACGCTTTATCATTTATTTAGTTTCATACTAAATGTCTGTGTCATCATTTTGGAAAAGATGCTTTTCTAGTAGAGGTTTTCAATGTTTGTCTCTTATTCTAACCCACTGCTCATATTCGCCCTTTCTTGTGGTACCCAAATGTCCAATTGTTTTTCTTCCATTGCCAAATTGCCATTTTTATTTCAGGAATGCATCAAACCAGTCAAGATGGAAAAAGTAGCGGGGAAACCAGGAGCTATACGAATAGAGGATGATGGTAGCTATTTTCAACTAGATGATGTAAGTTGCCTATCAAAGGTTAAAGGGATAGTTGAGTTCTGTTTTCAGACCGCAAATGCCTTCAAAGTGCATGGTTATTGCTCTTATTCTTATCTATGACATTTATAGTGCCATTTTAGACCCCAAAATGTGTGAAATTTAGCCAATACGATCATACCAATTCAGCTCCACTTAAAAAAAACATGGTGACCGTTAATTAATTATTTAATTAAAAATAACATTACATGACCCGGCTAATGAAAATGCCAACAAAAAAGCCAACATCGGCATTGGCTGAAATACAACGTAAAAGGCGTTATTTCGTTTTTTCAACGGTTTTTTCAATTTTTTCAACATTTCTAATATATGTGGTGATACACAAGTATTAGAAATCGTTATATTTCAGCCGTCTCTGAACCGATTTTGATCAAACAAAGATGAATTTGTCATTTAAATATTATGTTCTTTCAAATTTGACACTCAGTTTTTCATTATCTCACAAAAAAATATTTTGTGTAGTGCCCTCTGCAACAGAACTCAACTATCCCTTTAATAATTTTAGAGACAATATACATCATACATGTACATGTATTTTCAACCTTCAAGGTGCTACCAAATTTACAAATGTATATGTATTTGTCTTTTGTCTTTTCTTATTTTTATGTCACAATTATTTATTCAAACTGCAATTTTGTATTGATGTCATCAAATTGTCATTGATCATTTTATGAGAAAAATTGTTCATGAAATTTATGTTGAACTTCAGAAGGAAGAAAATATTTTCCTCATGAAAAAAATTATAAACATGAAATAAACAGATGTTACTGTTACTCGAAAACTAAAGCTTGGTAGTGAAAGGATAAAGAAGATCACATGTTATCTTGTGTATTTTAATAGAAATTTTTTCATGATGTCTAACTTCACATTTCATGAACCCTTTTTGAATTTCTGATGAAAGACAAGCTTAACGTAGAACATAACAAACTATTGCTATGACAGAGCAAATCCAAGTTCGTGAAAGCACTGTGCAAGTCCATACCATATACCAAAATATTCACAGAGAAAAATTACCTGTCTTAGCTTCTGACATGGCATACATGTACATACATGTATGCATAATGATTACAACTGGTTAAAGCTGTATGTTCATCAGAATGTATAGGATGCTGGATTTATATCTTTAACAATAATACAAGAAAAGTAAGTATTGATCATTTCTCACCTTGCAGTATGGAGGGTCAAGGAAGTTGGAGAAGGCTAAGATAACACTGAATGACTGCCTGGCATGTAGCGGTTGCATCACATCAGCTGAAAGTGTTCTTATTACACAACAGAGTCAGGAGGAACTCTTCAGAGTCCTGGAGGAAAATAGAAAGCTTGCTGCAGTAAGTCAACATTTCTGTCACTCACCAAAGACCCGTCATTCCTTTTTGTTATTTTATATTATATTCCACATACTAAGAATCTTGCTCTACGATGGGTCAAAAGTATATCACGTGATGAAAGATACTAGATAGTTTGCCCATCATTGCTGGGAGAAGCAAAAAGTTTGTTACACTGTTTAGATAGGCTGCTATCTACAAAGTGCAACACACTTTCACTGAAGATAGAAGTCCTATCTACACAGTGGAACGCACTTTAATTGTATACGCTGCATTTTGCTCTCCTCTTTAAGCGCTTTTAGTGTTAGTATGCGACCTTTGGCCACGCGTGAACTATATGGTCACACCAAACACCATACTGCATGCACTGTACGTATCGTACACCGTTTGCTAGCTGTTAATTGATGACTTGTTGCTCTAAAATGACGGAAAAAGTGAAATATTTCCGATGTGGAATATAAAGCAAATAATCACCTTTTGCTTTCAGGCGATGGCAAATTATCACTTCCTCTGCAATCTGAATGTATGCGCTATCTTTTCTCAGCTTCGCTACGTAAAGATAGCTACATCCAGATCGCCTCGGAAGTGATAGTTTGTCCCATCACCTTCACCAACGGTAGTTATTTGCTTACTATTGCTATGATATCAGGGACCCCTAAACACAGACATAAGTCAGCAATTGATTGCTATATTGCTCTTGACCACTATGTACAGCGAGTTGATCATATCATCAATAGGCCATTTTGGTAATGTATCCAAATTTAATGCATACATGTAGGTCTTTGTGAAGTTCCTTGACACAAATTCTTTCATATTGTTTCCATGTATCTTTCAAATAGTTTTTGCCATATATATGTAATAATTATTATGCCTACGGTATGTAGTATTGTGAAACCAAATATTCATGTATCATGTGAATTAAAGATGAAGTTGAGTTCTGGTCATGCGATTGCATTGTGAAAGAAACGGGGTGGAATTGACCAGAAAGGTTGATCATCTAGTATATAAGAATTTGTGTGTAATGCAAGGTTCTGGAATCATCAAAATGATAAGAAATTTGGCCAAGTCTTGGTAAAGTTACAAACACGTACACAGACAGATGTATATGGGACTACACGAACACGTGGCGTAAAAATCCTACCCTCTGAGTTTTACGATGTTACATGACATATTTAGAATATGAAGGCATTTGAAGAGCCCGGCCTTTCAGGGAACATGTCTCATCTGATGTTCTTCGACGCTTGCATAATAAGAATGATAACGCTCACAAATTATTTTTCACCTCTTCCCAGAACTCAACCTTCTCTTTAAGTTTCTAATAAAATACAAATATAAATTATGCAAAATTTGTATATACTTATATGGCCTCTTAATAGCATGTTCCAGGCACACACAAATTTTCAATGTATAGCACTATATATTTTTTTCTCTTTGTTTTATTTCTTTGCTAGAATGGAGAAGTTAGCAAACAGATGACAGTGATTGTGACCATCTCACCACAGTCTAGAGCGTCATTAGCAGCCAAATATAAACTATCTCTTCCTGACACAGCAAAGAGGTTGGCTACCTTCTTCAGAGAACTAGGTAACACAAAAGATCCTCATTTTCATCCATCACTATAATTATCTCACTAAAAAATATTACGGATATTTTGCCGAAGCATTATACATGATGGATATGTTGGCTCAAATATGTGTCCTCCTACCGGTATATGCAGATTTAAAATACCATCTAATGTGAGGCTGTCGTACAATCATATTTTTCAAACAGAATACAGGCAGGCACAAAGAACTTTTAAAAAGAAAAGGGGGGAAATGGTTATAGGTCCTCTAAGTACATAATGATGACCTTGTTCTTGAAATGTACTAGTCTTACTGTCAGAATGGACATGTATTGTGTACGGTATGTTGATGTTCTACAACTTTAATTGTGAAGGAAACATTCAGGATTGTGTACAAAGCAAAGGTGGCAAAGAGAATGCACAAATGTTGAAAGATTAATTGTGGACAGTCCTGTTGATGTTGATACCTGTTACATTGAATGTAATCCTGTAGGTGTGCATCATGTGTTTGATGAGACCTTTGCGAGGGACTTTAGTCTTCTGGAGAGCCAGAGAGAGTTCATTCAGAGGTTCAACAATCAAGCTACCAAGGGATCACTACCAATGCTAGCATCAGCGTGCCCAGGTAATAGTTTGAACAGTATTTGGTCAAATAATGGAACAAAACCGTGGAGCACCACTGTCAGCTATTGTCAGATCACTAGTGTTTATTTTCCACATACCCTAAACAATTTGGGAATAGCCGGTTGTGATCCTTGGCATGTAAAGAGTTTTTTGTTATACAAGGAGTAGTAATCAAGTTCACTATGAGCGTATTGAAAGTGTTTCGTTTCCTTTCATGGAGGCTGTATATGTTGTGCCGAGAAGACACTTGGCTCCTAAATGTACATCTTGCCTTATACCAGCATGGCCAAATCTTTCATCTAATCACAATCATGATTATCATTGTTACCATCATCATGATTATCATTGTCACCATCATCATCATCATCATCATCATCAATTTCATTATGAGACTATTGATTGTGTTTTATTTCCTTTCATGATTCAGGCTGGGTATGTTATGCAGAGAAAACACACGACTCTTACATCTTGTCTTACATCGACATAACCAAAGCATCATCATTATCACCATCATCATCATCATCATCATTATCATCATCATCATCATCACCATCACCATCACCCTCATCAACTCGTTTGGTGTGCACCTCTATAGGTAGCCTCTCTCATTTTGAGCTCTGTAATTTGTTTCATTTTTCACCAATTTTGGTTGGATTTAGTATTTGTATTTTCAACATTGTGTTTGATATTGGTCAAGGAACAGAGGTAATCAATTTGTAAGGTGTATTTTGGTGTGAATTTGCAGTATTTCTGTTAAGTTTAATGTTTGATGTTCTTGTTCAATTTTACTGTACTGGCATGTGCATTAGGCTTTACTGGTACTTTGCTTGTATACCATTTGAATGTACTGACATTCACAATAGTCTCTTTTGTATGCTCCTTTTGTGTAAGCTATTCCTGCTTGTACAATGGATGGAAAGCCATTGAAAGTGTTGTTTTCTATAGGGCTTGTTATTTCTATTCTGTACACTTTGAATCAGCCCTATATAACCAAGGAATGTTTCACTCGTACTGGCTCACACATGAAGAGCCTCCACTGTAAACATCTCAAATATCATAGTCAACCTATACTATACTACTGTAATTCGACAGCTACATTTCGATGTCTCCTTAATTCTGGAGATATCCAGCCCAATCCTGGTCCAGTGAATCGCACTGAGAATGTTTCCAATATTGGCCATACCAACTCACCTCCTTATTCAGCTGATTGTACAGCTTTACATATTTCATACAACTTGAATGATCTCCATCAGATTAATAACCAGCCGCTTAATTTACTACCCATGAATGTTTGGAGCAGGATCTGCGATCTTGGCATCGGTCGCCGACGTCGAACTCATCGCGGACGTGGGCGGCGTACGATACCAAGGCCGGATTTCCCTCCACCAATGTCGGTATCATCCAATAGCCTCAAACTTGGCCTTTGGAATGCACGTTCCATGACCAATAAAACACACGCAATTACTGATTTGATTGTTGAACATGATCTAGATGTTCTAGTCATCACCGAGTCGTGGCTCTCTGGAGACAGTAAGAGGGATGGTCTCATATTAGCTGATCTAAGATCTGGTTTGCCTAATTATGATTTCACCCATCGACCCCGGTTATCTTCCAAGGGCGGTGGGATTTTGCTTCTCTATAGATCCACGGCTCGCTGTACCTTGAACAACAACAATGATTTTGCATCTTTTGAATTACTGGATGTCACACTCAATCTGACACCTTCATCTGCTGTAAGGTTGTACTGTATTTATCGACCACCCCCGTCTGCCAATAATAATCTCTCCAACGGCACATTCTTGGATGAATTTCCAACTCTCCTTGAAGGTGCTGTTGTAGATGATCATTTTCCTCTATTATTGGGTGATTTCAACATACATGTTGATGATCCCAATGATAATTTTGCAAAATCTGTTATGACATGTGTTGATTCGTTAGGGTTCAAGCAACATGTTCGTGAACCAACCCATCGCGCAGGTCACACTCTAGATTTGATTTTCACAAGGAATTCGGATGATGTCTGCAACGTGAACTCGCTATCTTCCATGCCTTCCGACCATTGTGCACTTGTCACCACTGTCAATATCGCAAGGCCGAAGAATCCCAAGAAAGAGGTTTCCTTCAGGAAATATCGCAGCATTGACAAGGACTCTCTACGCAACTCTATTGACACAATGTTCCATTCACTTCCTGATCTATCTTGTCCATCTGCTTCCGCGGAGCATTACAACTCATCTTTGCGGACGTTGATTGATGAGCACGCTCCAATCCAGGTCAAGACTGTATCAATCAGACCTGATGCGCCATGGTTTACCGATGATATCCAGGAAGCCAAGAGGCGAAGGCGTCGTGCGGAACGTCGTTCGATCAAGTCTGGACTTTTTGTTGATAGAGAGCTGTACCGCCGTGAATGCGAGTCATATTATGAGTGCATCTTCAATGCGAAGTCAGCGTATCTCAAAGATCTCATCAAGAATGCTGACACTAAAGAACTGTTTCGTCTTGTGAAGACACTCTCAACGCCCACTCAATCTTCACCTCTTCCAGATCATTCTTCTGATAGTGAACTCGCCAACAGATTTGCTACATTCTTCAGGGAAAAAGTCGCCAAAGTTGTATCCTCTTTCCCTAATGTAGTACCAGCACCAGCTCCAAGATCTTTTGCTCCAGACCCTCGTCATGAACTCTCTGATTTCTACCTTGTATCCCTCTCACAAGTCAGGAAGCTCATCACTTCACTTCCTTCTAAACACTGTAAGCTAGATCCGATTCCTACCTGGCTTCTAAAGGAAGTCCTCGATGAACTCCTTCCTCACATAACCAAACTGTTCAATCTCTCGTTATCATCCGGAATAGTTCCAGAGTCTTTTAAGACTTCTCTGCTTCTTCCCCTCCTAAAGAAGCCGAGTCTCGACACGAATGGACTTAAGAACTACAGGCCCATCGCAAACCTGCCATTCCTTGGGAAGGTTTTGGAACGTATTGTGTCACTACAGCTGAAAGCCCACATTGACAATCTCGGTTTGTTTCCAATCCACCAATCTGCCTATCGGAATCATCATTCTACTGAGACTGCAACTGTCAAGGTCCTAAATGACCTACTTCTAGCTGTAGATAAGGGTAATGAAGCTGTCCTCATCTTGCTTGATTACACTGCCGCATTTGACACTATCAACCACGACCTGTTACTCCATCGCTTAGAGAACAACTTCTCCATCACCGGCACCGTACTTCAGTGGATTCGCTCCTATCTCATGCACCGAACTCAGAAGGTGATCATCAATGACACCAACTCGGAATCATTTCCCCTCATCTGCGGCGTTCCTCAGGGTTCCGTGGTCGGCCCCCTCCTGTTTATTCTTTACACCAGCCCTCTCTCAAATGTTATTAACCTTCATCAGAATATTCAACACACTATGTATGCAGACGACACCCAGATTTATGTAACTCTTCACCCAAACAGCAGGACAGTAGCCGCGAACAAACTCACCAGTTGCCTCAATGAAATCAAAACCTGGTCTTTTCAAAACTGTCTCTGCCTTAATGATTCAAAATCTGAAATGATTCATATTACTTCTAAATTTCGGAACTCAGACCCCTTTCCTGATCTTGTTATGAGTGATGGCTCTCTCAGTTGTTGTGCTTCTGTGCGTGACCTTGGTTTAAATATTGACAGCAATCTTACTTTCAAACAACACATTAGTAATATTTGTAAGTCTGCTTCCTTTGGTATATATAAGATCAGTAGAATCAGGAGTCTACTTGACCGACCCACAACTTCAAAATTAGTCCATGCTTTTGTCTCGACCCATATCGATTACTGTAATTCTTCTCTTTCTGGCCTCCCTCAGTCACATCTAGTCCCACTTCAAAGGGTACAGAATAGCGCTGCTCGGCTTGTGACTCTCTCGCGTAAATCAGAGCACATAACTCCAATATTGAACTCACTACATTGGCTTAAAATTCACCACCGCATATCCTTCAAAATTCTTCTCCTGTGCTACAAAGCTATCAATGGCTTAGCCCCCTCTTACCTTTCCGATCTCATATCCTTACGTTCCCGTACGTCGTCACGAACACTTCGTTCATCTTCCACATTACTGTTAACACCTGGACCCCGCACTAACACCCGGTATGGTGACCGCGCCTTTTCAGTTATTGCCCCCGCTCTCTGGAACAAACTGCCCGCCTTTATTCACTGCGCCCCCTCTGTATCTCAATTCAAATCTCTACTCAAAACCTATCTTTTCAAATTGTAAATTGCAGTTGTGCGTCGGTCAATGGAGGTGCGCACCATATTTGTCTTTGTCTTTATTTAGTTGATTGCCCCTGTTTTTCTTACCTTATCTATGTTACTTTTGTATTTTTGCTTTTTCTTCTAATTTAATTCTACGGGTTATAGTCTTCTCTTAATCAGAACACTGTGCGCTTAGAAACATCAGTATTAAGCGCCTAATAAATGTTATGTATTATTATTATTATTATCATCATCATCATCAAGTTCACTGTGAGACTATTAACTGTGTTCTATTTCCTTTTCTAATTCAGGTTGGGTATGTTATGCCGAGAAAACACACGGCTCCTACATCCTGCCTTACATCAGCACGACCAAGTCACCCCAGCAGATCATAGGCTCTCTGGTCAAAGACTACGTAGCACAGTCCCTCCGGGTCAAGCCTGACTGTATCTACCATGTCACCGTCATGCCTTGCTATGATAAGAAGCTGGAAGCCTCAAGAGATGACTTCTATGATGATGTGTACAGGACAAGAGATGTTGATTGTGTCATAACGTCAGGTATGTATCTGTTGTTAATCAATTGATTGATTTGTTTGGCCTTGCCTTGTTTGATCTTTATGTCTTAGTTTTCTTGTAAACTGACCTTTTATTTTTTTTTACTTGTGCTGGTCAGTCTTCATGAATTAAAAAAAGGTTTGAGAAATCAAGTTCTTGCTTGTAGGTAGGAAATAGGAAATGTTTGCAAACTATAATCACCAATACTTTGCAAAAACGCATGGCAATGATTTGCTATTTCTGGAATTAAAGAAAGAAAAACGACTCTGTGATATAGTTAGACAGCAGGCACATTCCTACTACTTCTGTGATGTTTTCTTGTTTAATCTATGAGCTTTCCTTAGTTTTATTGAAGTTCTTATAAACTATTAACTTGTATTTACGTGCTGGACAGAGATTATATAACTGTTGCAATTCTACAGATATTCATTGAGAACCATTGCCCCCATACATGTATAACATTGTTATATACTCAAGAAAATGTTGTTTGTATTTTTCCAGGTGAAGTTGAAGCCATGCTTGCCAAAGAACAGGTGTCGTTATCAGAAATTGAACCACAGGAGTATAATAGAGTGTAAGTATTTGCATATTTGTGCAAAATACTACGAAATGGAATCTAGTTTTACATAACCAAACAATTCTAAATGAAATATAGATTTTGTAGAGTATATTCTGGAGTTTCTTTAAAGGTTTTAGGGAAGAAAGGATGACAATAAGAAGTGTTTAGATAACAAAACCTTTTAAAATACTCATTTTAAACTGTTTGAAAAAGAAACTTGTTTGTGTAAGACAAGTTCAGTGCATTATCTTTTAGAGATCAAGACTTGTGACATTAATTCATCATCTTACACAATATCTGAAAAATAAAATTAACCTGTTTACTAATTTAGTATATCATATTAGATTATACCCTTTGGTCTTGTTGGTGTGTGTTACATGTATATACAGGTTTCCATTTGGTGAGAGTAGTTCTGTTGTAAGTCATTCTGGAGGCGGATCTGGTGGTTTTCATGAGCACATTCTACGCCATGCGGCCAAAGAACTGTTCGGGAAGGAACTGGGTGAACTGCAATATAAAGTTATGAAGTAAGTAGGCATTGGTATATGATCAACTTTTCTTCTCTTTAGAAAGAATGTAAACAGTATATCTCTTACTTCATTGATTTTGTGCAATCAAGCAACAACTTCTGTTAAAATGGAAACTTTACAACTTAAAAATTTAAGAAAATGTATTCATCATAGTTGTAATAGAAGTGGCTAGAAGCTTCCCAGTTACAAATACATATGTTTTATTGTTGATTGATATAGATATTATGTGTGGTCATAGTGATTTTTTTTATGGTAGATCATGACTGATTGATTTTATGACATGTTCTCTCAAATACTTGTTTTTTTATTTTTATAGTTTTGCAGAAGAAAAACAAACTCCAACTCAATCTTTATTTGCACTCTTGACCTACATGAAGATGTTTAATCATTTTTGTTCAGTCATATGATGCATAGAGTAAGACATATATTAAAAACTTTTTTTTTTTAATTAAAAAAATGATCTACCTGTAGTCCTCAGATCTAATCAATGTCCATTCATTTTAGGAACAAAGACTTCAAGGAAGTGACTGTGGAATCTGACGGACAGCCTTTGCTGAGGTTTGCTCTGGCCTATGGCTTCAGGAACATACAGAACCTGGTACAGAAGATCAAGAGAGGAAAGTCGCCCTATCACTTTGTTGAAGTCATGGCTTGTCCAGCAGGTATGTATTCAACTGGATTTCATAGGAGTTTGAGTTGCTATGCAAACACGGATAGGCTTCTAACATTAGAAGGGTTTTTGATTATTAATCAAAAAATGATACTTAAAAATTGAATTATGTTTTAAATTAAATGTCACTATAAAAAGAACAGCAATAAGGCAATTTGGGTAAATTATCACCATTTACAGGGGATCTATTGTTAGTAGTGAGCAGATGTAATCAATTTGGGTCATTCTTTATCATGCATTTGCAGGCACAGTGTTGAAATATTGCAATGAAACCAAAGCAAAATCTTGTGTTTGTTGTAATAAAACAATCAAAATTTAATTAATGAATAATCAAAAGTCAAGTATGGATTATGATCTAAGTGAAGTTCAACATCATTGTGAAGGTTTGAGCTTCATATGGTTCAGTCAGATATTGATTTATAGAAAACACTGTTAACCATAAGATCTTTATATATTTTTGGTCAGGCTGTGTGAACGGAGGAGGGCAGATCAAGGCTGAAGAAGGCATCACAGCGAAGGAACTACTCGTGGAAGTTGAAGAACTGTACAACTCTGCTCCTACGAGGACACCCGAGGAGAACGAGGTGGTCCAGACTCTTTACGAGGAGTGGCTCGGAGGAGTGGGCAGTGAGAAAGCAAGGACTATGTTGCATACGCAGTACCATGCGTTGGAGAAGAACACAAATGCTCTTAACATCAAGTGGTAGAACAGGAATTGGGATTTGTCGTCTTGGCAACTGAGAGAGAATAGGAAATATTGGAGGAGGAGAAGAGTTGAGTCGGACACACCTCTGTAATACTCAGGGATGTACATTAGTGTAAGTGCATGTGTTTTACTCTGCCATATTGTACAGCAGTACATGTATATGCTGTTGTTACAAGATAAGTAAAATAAGAACAGGGTTCAAGGTTTAAAGGCATTGTTTAACGGTTTTACAAATCTGAAATGCATGGCCCTATGTGTTATCAGTGTCTGTGATATGGTGTAATATTGAAACCCAAGAAAAATAGCGCTTCCAAATGATCATGAAGTGCTTCAATAACGTAAAAATCTTTTGAGTGTCCGGTTTTACCATACTCATTTTCCCCAATAGACTGTAGTATTGGAAAAAAAATGTTCAAACCCGTTTGGAAAATTGTTTCTGAAATTTTGAATTCCAATCTTAAATATCTTGATAATCAAACATGCGATTGGCTTGTAAAAGTCATGGTTTTCATTTCTGATAATGATTACAGCATGACCTATATCCAAGATTTTGTTAATAATCAGAGGCAAAGTTACCTAATACCTTTGATATAATTTATTTTTGAATTCACTTAAAATTGTGTAGAATTACTAGATTACAAAGTGAGGTAAAATATTTCAGATGGAAATTATGTTTGTGGCTAATAACTGCCTGCCATTTAGTCTTTACGGATTGAGTAAATGTACTTTGAAAGAAAACAAGAGAAATGCATGTATGCAAAGGTCTCTTTTAGTAAACCATGTAAACTGATAATCATCTTGCTTGAAATTTTCCCTGTATTGTTTTTTGAAAGAATTTTTTGAAATTTTGATTTTGATAAGGATAAAATGATGTCAGTCAATGATATGATTTTAAATACTGTAATGTCTCTGGTCTCACAGATGTAGCAATTTGTTAAGCTTCATATCGAATCCTGAGATATTTTTTCTATTATAGACAATTTCTTAATTTCCTGTGTATTCAATCCATTAATGACTTTTATTTCTTTTTCTTTTTTTTACATCGAAATAATCTGTTTAATGAATCAGGATCCATTCTAATACGTGTCTTTGTATTTTAGACATGTCGTTTGGGTTTCAAATTCTTCAACAAAATTTCCCTTTTTTTTTCTTCTTTTTTCAAGTGAATATTGTTTATATTTTACATCTTGAAATGACTAAAAACTGATTTTGGAAATGCCAAGCAATATGATTTGTTATTTTTATTTTAAAGTGTGTTTAAACAAAACAAATCAGCCTTTTTAGTATACAAAGTTTGTTTGGGAAATACTGAAAAGATGGCTATAATTTTTAAGACTAGAAATGTTAATATCATCTGTTCATTTTACTGATAAATAGCTATGAATAATGTTTTTAGTTTGGGAAATAGTACATATAAAATTTAGGTGTGATTCTGTATATTTTATATTAAGAACACATGTAATTTGAATTGTAAATTATGAAGAGATGACTATTATTAAAAGAATATTTGAAAAAAATTGTAGCTTATGGCAGTGTTTTGGGGTATGTGTCAATTGAAATATAAACATAGAAATAGAGATAGAAGAATAAGAGAGAGAGAGAGAGAGAGAGAGAGAGAGAGAGAGAGAGAGTGATTGACAGAGAGAAATTAATAAACAAATATACAAAAAATCTTGATACTTGAGAGTGAGTGAGAGAGAGAGAGAGAAAGAGAGATAGTGGAAGAGATGGAGACACTATGAATATGACGGACAAAGAAAGCGGACAAAATATACAGTTCCTCAGGTAGACAAAGGACATCCCTTCACTGCTATTATGTAAAAATGTGTAAAACGGGTGAATATGCATGTGACACCTGTTCCACACATTTTTACATAAAAGCAGTGAAGGGATGTTCCTTTGTCTACATGAGGAACTGTATATTTTGTCCCCTTTCATTGTCCGTCATGTTCATAGTGAGAGGAAGTGTGCTAGCATAAGAGAGGGAGAAAATTAAAATCAAAGAAATGCCTGTATGGCAAAGCAAAGGGAAAAGCACACAAGAGGAACAGAAAGGGAGAGGGAATGATGCATAGGAAATCAGGATGTATAGAATAAAAGAGAGAGAGAGAAAAAAAATATAGGAGGGCATGTGCCCCACCTCACCGAAGCCCCCCCCCCCAAAAAAAAAAAAGAAAAAGAAAAAAGGATTGAACATTTTCAAAGAAGATGATTTCACCATCCCATTCACTCAATGGTCTGGTTCTCAATGGCACTTCTTGCTTTAACTTTGCAACATACTTTATTGAAAAACAGTCTACATCAGGGTGTTATTCAGCTTCATGCTCACATCTGACCATCTCCCTTTAAAATAAAATAAAAATTCAATCCTGGAAATGAATCTTTAAATAAAATGGTGCTACATTGTGTACTACACACTGGCGATTCTAGGGGAGGCATAACAGGCCTATGCACCCCCCCTTCCTCCAGAGGCGGATTCAGCCGGCGGCAGGGGAGGGGGCCCAATACGTGAGAAAATATTTGGCGGCGAAACAATCGGCCGATAATTCCCTCAGATATTTTTGGAGCCCTCACAAATTTGAAAAATCGCACCCCCCCCCCCCCTTGAGCGCCAGGGGAGAGGGCCCATCTCCAAAAAAAGAGAGGTAAAATTAACGTGTTTTTTACACATTTTTCCCCCTGGGGAGGGGGCCTGGGCCCTCCCCTGGATCTGCCACTGCCCTCCTCCATGTGAAGCCCAAGTTGCATACGTCGGGTAGACAGCCTCAACAACGTACTTCCCTTTTCAAATTCAACCCATTATTCAAAATATTAAAAAATTAAATTAAAAGGGCACTTAGGCACTAAGTCCTATTATCGTGACCTGTTATTTAAAAAAAAAACATTATTGAATGGCACATTAGAAACTTTTTTTTGGAGAGGGGCGGGGGGATCAAAGAGTTGCTGCTGATTAACTATCTTGATTACTTTTGAAGTACACGACGAAGACGGCATCATGATAATGATACTGCCATGATTGGCCAAGAATATGACGTCATCGATGTTGTTTTCTCGGAACGAGTGAGGACGAAGACGGATATGAGAGAGATTTTTTATCAGTATTCCTTTATTTAAGGTCTTTACCGGTGATTTATCGACTATGGACAATGGTGAGTGTACCTTACATACCCTTGCATGCAATGTTATTTAAATAAGGAGATATAATTCACGCATTTGGAACACATTATGCAATTTCGCGGATTTATTGCTAGCTCACAGTCCCATGCGTTATATTTTTCGTTAGTTGCAGTAGACCTATAGGCTTTCATTCAACACGTTACGAATCGTCAGATCATACATATTTTCCTCTGATACACATTGGCTTGGCTCTGAATGAAAAGGGGGGGGGGCGGGGCTGGGAGGAGCGTACTATTTTTTTTTTTTTTGGGGGGGGGGGGGGGGGCACGTCCCTGTTTGCCAGTACATTTTTGGCGAATTGGGGGCTGATTTCAACACTTTTTTTTTGGGGGGGGGGGGGGGGGCACATGTCCCCTGTGCCCCCCTGGATCCGTCCCTGAACTGATAGCATTGTCTTTTTTTATTATTAGTATAGCCAAGCATATTTAAAAAAATGGTGATCATATCAATTTCTTTTCAAAATTAAAAATGAGAATGCATTCACCAAGGCCCATGGATTTGAACCTTGCACATTTCTACTGTAATCTTTCCTTTGTGTTTCTTTATTTCTTTTGTTTTAAAAGAGTTTCTTATTTGTGATTGATAGATAACCAATAAATCTTACTATTATTGATATTCCAGTGGTATGATACTTTTAACTCCTTCCTTGCTGAAGGCTACGTATGTGGCAAATCCCACCCTTGAGCTTTCAAAAAAGTGTTTGGATTATTAAAAAAGATTTACGTTTTCTTCCAGAAATAGAATCAGTCACTCTTTCCTGAAGTTTGTATCTATGAAAGACATGTTACATTTACATGTATATTAAGCTTCTATTACATATATTGAGATCAATTAAAGTTGAAAGTTAAAGGGTTACTAGTTTAGCTTTGATGCTATTGTGTTCTCTTTTTTTTCCTTATTCAGCAGGGCCATTCTTCCTGTGCAGTTGCTGTGGGACTCAGTTCCCATCGGCTCTGCTGCTCTCCCAGCATTGCGCCACTCATCACCAAGGCTTTGAACTCTCTCCATTCATCAGCGTTGGAAGCATGTTACCAACTGGACAGGGGACACTCCCCCAGGCTCCACCCAACCATTATGACATCATCAATCAACCACCAATCACCAGGAAGCCAAGTGGCCATGATATCACTCTTACACAACTACAGACTGTGAACCCATCTTCACAAGCTCATTTAATGCCTTCCCCTCATCCCCTGCCACAACAGGAGGTAGTCAAACATGGCAAGGGTGGTCAACTACCAGTCTTATCTTCAAACACTACAACTGCAAAGTTTGGATCAGGGTATTTTGCCATGTCAGAAGCAATCCATTCAACCCAGTCCCAAGAGGGTACAGAGACCCGAGGAAACACTCAGTACACTTGTGTTGTAAATCCAACTCAGACACTGGAAGCTCATTCTAATAGAAACCTGAATAATCCTTCAGGCATGGATGGAAATCTAAGCATGCAAATTACCAATCAAATTGAAAATCAGTTACAACCCATTGTCAAAACACCAACAACTGAAAATGGAGCTGGAATAATGCAGACACACGTGGGAGGAGTGACTACAGTCGCCGGCACATTATCTGTCATTCAAAGCAATCACTGCAGTCCAACAGGACAAAGAGACAACATAAACAATGATAATTCTCATATCCAGAAACAGATCTCACATCGTGTGACCAAAACTGTTCTTACTTCAATGGTATCTATGAAAAACAATCTAGGCTGGACGAACCAAACTGAAGCTTCATACAGACTACCTTCATCAACACTAGCTGTCCTTCCATTACATCAGCAGCAGACTGTTCTACTGGCCCGTACCCCTGCGTTTCCCATGGGTGTCCTAACTGCAGTGGGTGTACCCCAGACAGAACCAGTCATAAAACCTACCAAGCCCCCTAGAGGTCAGGGCCCAAGACCATTCTCCTGTCCGACTTGTGAGAAGACGTTCACTCTCAAGTATAATCTACAGCAACATGAGGTAAGTTGAAATTGGTAAAGGTACAGGCATATATAGATTAAATAATAATAATAATAATAATATTGGATATTTGTATAGCGCACATATCCACCATGCATGGTGCTCAAGGCACTCCAACTAAAAGGGACTAATCAACAACAAAATGATTTCGTACATCGTTAGAAAAATTAAATCCCCCAAATAGTTACCATCTTCAAGTGGCTTAAGGGTTATGGAACAGAAGGGAATTATCTTTCTTCCTGTAGGCCCTATACACAAGGACCACCCCTGCCCCATTATCCATGGGTCAATTATCATTTTGTAGATGTATGCTAAGTGCTAATTTTATTTCTTTTGTTTTGTCTTAATGAAATGGACAGGTTTATGCTCACTCTGATGACAGACCTTATGCTTGCTCCAAGTGTGATAATGCTTTCAAGCTGAAAGGACATCTCAAGGAACATGAACGTAACTCACATAGTGAGGAGAGACCTTTCAAGTGCACACAGTGTGAGAAAACCTTCAAACAAAAGAGCCATCTCACAGGTATACTACACACCTCTGCTAATGATTCATATCTTAAGTCTCTATTCTCTGTTCGTCTGTCTTCTGTCTCTTTTTGTCTCTCGTTCTTTAACTATCCATTGATTTGCTTTGGCTTTTATTCCTTTTTTGCTGAATAGTGCATACTTATCAAACATGTGACACAAATCTAAGAATATAGGGATAATAGGAGTCCTAAATACATTGAACTATAGTATCTTTTGATTGAATGATGAAGATGAGGTGGTAATCTGAGTTACAATGGGTCCTTTTCCCTAGTACCTTGCAAATTTTAAGCTCTCCTAAACAAGAATTACATCACAGCAACGCAAATTTATGAAACAAACCAATTTAGAAGCCTTGGAGTTACCGTAAGGTGGAGTTATACCAAGCTCTCTGGTTGCACGTTTCATTGTGTAGTATGGACTATTTGCCATTGTTTTCACAACTGCAAAGTATTAAATAACCGATGGGATTCTCCTTTTTACAAAAGGTCATATGTCCATTCATGATGGGAGCAAACCTCACCGATGTGAAACTTGTGGGCTTGTCTTCCGTCAGAAGCAGCACCTGAAGCGGCATGCCCTTACGCACACTGGTAAACGACTCTTCTCCTGTTCTCATTGTCCTTCGACATTCAACATCAGCAGCGACCTGAAGCGTCACACCCGCATCCATACCGGAGAGAGACCGTTCTGTTGCGCCCATTGTGGGAAAGGCTTCGCTAGGAAACAGGCTGTCAGGATACATGAGAAGATTCATTTTAAGCCCTTTATCTGCCAGAGGTGTAGTAAGAGCTTCAGAGACCTACAGGCACTGGCTGACCATGAGAAGAAGCATGTTAAGTCACTGTCACATGATTGCAGAGAGTGCGACCAGAGGTTCAGTCTATTCACAGAGCTCAAGGAACATATGAAGATTCATAAAGGTAGTGTGAATGTCTTTAAAGATACTATGTCCCTTTTGCATCGAACATCAAATTCTGTAGAACTTTGCAGGAATTATGAATATGTCATGTATGTCCTATCTGTACAAGGTAAAAGGGTCTGAAAATCGAGACTATTACTTGTGATTGCAATCACTTAAGTCGATTTGACAACTAATGGTCGTTATTTTACCACTAAAAGCCATTTTCAAACCCTTTCGTTTTGAGGAAAGTTCTAAATTACAATTTAACGTTTTCATTATTTTTGGCCTGCAAATGGGACATACATTGTAGTACCTCTTTAACACATTGGATTTCTTTTTTAACTATAAAATTGAGTTTATTGTTATATAACATAAAATAGGTTTGGAAAGAGACAATATTTGTGAGATATGAGGTGTCATATAAGTCAGATGGATCAGCAAAAACGTTTTGTAAAGCTGAACAAGTAGTTTCTCATCCAACTGAATTGATTACTTGTAAACATAGCTTTGAAGAAAAAAATATCTATGTGTGAAACATTTGAATGTGTGGTATTGAAAAAAAAGGTTTGTTGATACACATGTGGCAGTTTGATTACACTTTCATTTAAAATAAAGAAAAAATTCCATTGTTTTGACAGATTGATGACATTGTTTAAATGCAAGTTTATATGTTGTCTTTGTTTTCCAGAAAAGAGCAAGGTTGTAAAGGAAAAGAAGATTGCTAATCGGAAGAATATGGCAGCACGACCAAATCTTAGGGTAACTTGAAAACACTTTTGTTTGTAAAGGCCTTCAGTCAAGAAAGAATCATGAAAGTTCTTGTCAACCAGCCTTCCTGCTTTCTACCTATAATGATATAATACTTTAAAGCCTTCTTTTACTCTTCTGTATATTTGTAAGTAAATGTATTAGGATGTAAGTTTGAAAATACGTTTAATTGAAACTTCCATACCAATGTAACTCAAAACGGGTTTATATGAAGCATTATGTTTTTTGTGAGGTTGTTCTATTATAATCTCTTACTTTTCCTAAGTTCTTGCTTTGACAATTTCTCAACCTTGATAGTCACAATAAGTTTTATTATTCTTTTTATCAATGAAACTTTGATTCTTATTATAAATGATAAAAACCTTATATTCTATTTCACTTTTGTATGATTACAAATGTAGTTTTCATAATCATATACTTTCTTGTCCACATTTTATAAAAGATGACAAGGCAGAGAACTGCAGCAGCAAGGGCATCTCACAGGAAAACTAAACCAAAGTCTTTAAGACCCAAAAGAAGAGAGCAAGATTCAAATGAAATTTCAAAACTGACTGATGATGAACAGCTATCTTGCAGTGTTTGTCGAAGGCCCTGTCGAAGGTGTAATCTGTTACGCCATGAACAGAAGTGTCATGGCATACAGCATACTGTCCACCAGTGTGAAGAATGTGAAGAAACGTTCACTGGACGCAATACTCTAATGGCTCATGCCAAAGAACACAAGAACCCTGAGAGATTCAGATGCGACCGATGTGACGAGGCCTTCCAGTATGAGTCTCACCTACATAAGCACCTAGTCAGTGCCCATGGCGTTAAGCCCTTCTCTTGTGATATCTGCTCGAAGACCTTTGTACAAAAAAAGTCCTACTTGGAGCACAGTAGAACATGTAAAAAGGAAGATACTGTAAGTTGTGAGCTTTGTAAAGATGTCTTCAAGCAGAAGGTGTCACTGCTGCGCCACAAGGTCAAAGCTCACGGCCTACGACCATACTCCTGTACCATCTGCGAAAGGGGCTTTGCAAACAAGGGAACCCTTCAACGACACATCGTAACCCACAGCAGCGATCGTCCTCACCAATGCCAGTACTGCTCAAAGACATTCAAGGAGAAGCGACAAGTGGACCAACATGAGAAGACCCACAGAGGTGAGAGACCATTCCAGTGTTTCCAGTGTGGACTCTCCTTCCATCGCAAGGCGTACCTGGAGCGCCATGAAGCCATTCATACAGGAGAGAAGCGGTTCCGGTGTCCTCACTGTCCGACAGCCTTCTTCATGGGCCATGACCTTAAGAGACATCTTAGGATCCATACGGGAGAAAAGCCATTTGCCTGCAAGATCTGTAAGGTATGGGCAGCCTTCTACTATTATACATCATGGTAAAACAGATGAAATTATTTCAAGTCACCTACAGAGACAAAATCATATTTATGTAAGAATTCTAGAGATTTATCGGAGTTCTAAACTATTCTATCATTTCCCTTCAAGTTTTAGTTTTTAAAAGCATACTATCCCTCAAAATCTTTTTTTTTTGTATAAATATTCTTGTACAGTTTGTAACACTGTTATCATCAACCACTATAAATACACTCAAGTTATTTAGCATGGAATACATTATGATTAAAAAATTTCTGCGATTTTACCTGACCAAACTTATTGATGTCTTTAATTTCTCATGGACACAAGTGATTATTATACTAAAAAGATCAACATCTGAAGAACTTAGTTTGCATATATTCATCATTATTTTGAAAATGTATTCATCATGGAATTATTGAGTTCATTTAAAAAATGTTTATTATGTTCCTCTTTGTGTATGGCCATCATTGCAATTTTGCACATACAGTGATCTCATACATGTGGGTGTGAGTAACTAATCGATGATTATGATCTGTTTCATCTTTCTTATGCTTCAGAAAGCATTCCGAAGGAAAGCAGCTGTGGCCTTTCATGAGAAGCAGGTTCACATGAGGAAATTCCAGTGCAGCTACTGCTCCAGAAAGTTCTTCACCAAGTCTCAGCTTGATTCCCATACAGTCATGCACCTGGGTGTTCCTCGTCCCCAGATTCCCGTAGAAAATTGTGGTCTGTTTCTTGACATATTGAATTCTCTAGTGCAGTATTTCAGATTTGCATGTTGAAGAAAAGTAGTTACTCCGTATTGACAATAGCAATGCTAAAAGCTGTTTATTATATATTTATTGTCAGCTAAACCAATAATTCAACACAAATGTGTCAATGAATTCACTAGTTTCATATACCTTGTATTTAATTAGTAAATGTATTATATTTGTGTATTGGTCTAGTGCTTACCTGAGTGAAAGATAATAAGAATATGACAGAAATTTTAGAAACATTAGAGATTGAACTGATTAGGAAACTAATTCTTTGCCATCTAGGGTCACTAATGAAACAAAGAGTGGACCACTTCCATCGACTTATATATGGAAATATTTAGAAATAATGCAGTCGAAGGTTTCAATCCACAGCAAATTGCAGAAGTGTAGGCTGCCATTCACTTTATTTAATATAGTACAATTACTCATTTAACAAAGTATCATTTGTATTTTCAACCAGATCCATGTCATAGGACTGGAGATGCTGAAGGAGTCCCATCAGCTCCCATTAGAATGAACTCTAAGGCTTCAGGTCTTGCTCCATCTCTAGACTCTGCTGATGCTCCTACTATGCAGCACCCTGCAATGGCTGCATTGACTCCAATCATTGGTGCAACCACTAGCAGTTGTGAATTACAGGTGAGTAGTTTAATATGGCCAAAATAGGACTTGTGAGGAGTATTGATCAAAATATATGTTTTTCTTCTTTTTATTATTTAAATTTTACAATATGAAATAGGAAAATCAGCTAACACATCAATTGGGGTTCCTCATGATTATTTAGTTGATTTGATTGGTCAAATTTTATTTGAAAGTGCACAGTTTTGCTCATAATCACTCCCTTAAATTCACAAACACCCAGACATGTGCATGTAGAATCGACTTAAAGGAGAGATTATTGGTGTTAAAAGTGACAACCACTAGTTTTCCATATAAGTTAAGAATTTTGTCAGAACTAATTCAATTACTAAAAGAATGTTTCCTGAGTAATCTTAGGTCATGTCGGTTTCACGGGTAAGGATCTCATCAACAACGAAGCATTATCCAAATGCTCATACTGTACATAATGTATGCCTTTATCAAAACTGAACCTCCTGTGTAATGTATTTTGTTTGTTTGTTGTATCTCATGATAGGAAGGATCTGATTCTGATGATCTACCTTGTCTAGCTTCTGACCTTCCACCCAATCAGAGTTCTACATCAGGTCCAGATAGCAGTAGAGGTACATATATTGAACTAACTTTTTCTTGTACTTCTGAGAAATAAAAATTGTTGTATTCTATGTATATGTGAACAACTGAGAACAGATAATTAACCTCTGTGTTCTACTGTGTTTTTTTTTTTTAATTGAGTAGAAATAATATAGCAATTGTAGTTGGGATGTTACAGAAATAGTTATATGTAACTACACACAAAATGTAAGTTATTATCCTATTTAGGTCATCTTGTTGTATACCTCTCAGATAATTTGTACCAGGAAAATGCTCTTAGTCTTTCTAGTTTTACCGGGATTGAATAAGTTTTGAAGCTTTTGGGTTTTTCCTGAGTTGGGGGGAATAAAGATATTGAATGATACTACAATAGAGAGTTAGGCCTAATTACTTATTAAATATATATTTGATATAATCAGGGGGGCATTTCACAAAACTTGTCATCAGTGACAAATGGTAGTTTTTGTTATAAGCTACTGAAATCCTTGCTTCTGATTAGTTATCAGCAGATTTATCACTGATTTTTGTTAGTTGTCATTGAAAAAAAGCTTTGTGAAATGCCCCCTGAATGTTGAGAATGCCAGTGCATTTTAAGCTTGAATTTGTAGATATTCTATCAGATGAACCACGTTCCACATTTGTCTTTCTTGTGTCATACCTTATAGCTCAGACCGATCCATCAGATGCCACTGATGTCACATTTTTCCTGTGTAATTCCTGTGGCAGTCTATTCCCCAGTGCAGCCATGTTAGCCAGACATACCCAGCTACTCCACAATCCTTCCCTCACCATCAACAACCCTGCTCCTAAAGCCAAGTCCACCACGAGACAGAGGACAAAGCGTGAGAGTAGGAGTAAGATGAAGAAGAAAGACACACCAAATGCTATGGATGGGACCGTAAAGCAACAGATGTGTGCTGAATGTGGGGAAGAGTACATGGGTGATTCGAAAGCCCATGGATGTCTTGATGCAAGCAATGTACCCGTGTCCCCTGGTCCAGAAGTTATTGAGGATCCAGGACCTGATTATGTGGACCAGTATCCTGTCCGGACCGTCGGAGAGTCCAAGGAGAAGGATGAGTCTCTGTACTACTGTAGACACTGTGACAAGGGCTTTAAGAAGATGAGTAGTCATAACGTCCATCAACGGATCCATACAGGAGATAAGCCATTTGTTTGTAAGTTCTGCAACAAGGCCTTCTCTGTCAAGAGCAATCTGAAACAGCATGAGATAGCTAAACACACAGACGAGAGACCCTATGCGTGCTCAAAGTGCGATGCCAGATTCAAACAGCACAGCCATTTGAAGTCGCATGAGGAGATCCATGCAGGCATCAAGAACTATGAATGCACCGTGTGCGATCAGAAATTCAGGCAGTCTTCACATCTGCAACGGCATAAACTGATTCATGATGGGATTAAGCAGTACAAGTGCGAACGCTGCCCCTCTGCGTTCAATCTGGTCAGTGACCTGCAGCGCCATTCTCTAATCCACTCAGGCGTTAAGCCATTCCAGTGCGATCAATGCGAGAAACGTTTCCGACGCAAGTTCCAGCTGAAGGTCCACCAGCAGATGCACACGGGGGAACTCCCCCTTCAGTGCCCGCATTGCAGGAAAGCCTTCATGGACAAGAAGTGCTTCGAGAGCCATGTTTCCGCTCATGAAGGTAAGGCTCTTCACAAGTGTGATGCTTGCGATAAGTCCTTCAGCACAGAGTACGTCCTGAAGCGTCATTCATGCGGACAGAAGACTGTAGGATGTTTCAAATGTGAACAGTGCTCCAAGTCTTTCAAATGTAAAGATACTTTTGATAACCACAAGTGCAGAGGTAGAACGGGTAGAACGGAGAAGAAAGAATGTTCATCATGAGTTCTTTAAGTTTGAAGGGACCATCAGATGCTTTGGCAAATAGAAGAATTCCACAAATGTTGTTGAAATGTGTGGTACGACATTAAAGTGAAAGTCAAGTCTACATTTTCATTTTAAGGTGTACATCCATAGGAACATACCATGTTGAATTCAGGTCAGAAATAAATCTTCATTTTACTTCCAGTAATTATGTGTGAATGTTAGTAGGATCAATTTTTCACATGGAAGGATCCAATATCAACAGAATGTTGGTACAAGTTTTAAATCAGAAAATTTTCCTTATTTTGTCCCATGATTAAATATTAATTCAACAAATCAATTTAAAGAAAATAGCTCTGCTTGAAGTCATTTTTTGCATTTTTATTGTCACTTGATTCATGTTATGGAATGTTATGATTGATATGGTAGGCTAAAACAACCTAGAAACAAATCTGTATGTTGTTCATCATTGTTGAGGTATACTTAGTGACAAGAGTGATACTTTGTACCAGAAGGGGCATACAGTTTTAAAGTGCCGTTCAAGTATAAATCATTTTATCTTTTACAAAAAAGATATTACTTTATTTGATTGTTATTGTGCAAATAGAAGGTTTTCGAAATCGATTGGACCATATATCATCGCTTATAGAATTGCATATCTGATCAAACAGAATAACTAGTTTGCGTTGTGCAGCTGCCAAAGTGTGATGCTTTGACCACTATAGTTTTACTATAGGAAATGTGGAAGAAAAAAAAATATATAGTCGTGTTGTCAATTCATATAGATTCTTGCCATTTGAATAGTACTTTTAGATTTTGTGAAATTCGCTTGGCCATCTGGCCATTCTGATAAACATTTGGAGAGAGTGTTAGCTAATGCCTTCACTCACAATGGAATATGCAGCCATATACAGACATATGACTTGGAATTATTTGCAGGACAATGTAGAAATACAATTCACAGTGTTTCTAAAGATGTAATCTATGTGCAAATATTCAAGCTAATGCATCACTGCAATATCAGTGTGTGCAATCCGTATGCGGTTTTATATCCCTCACAGTGTCCCTAAGTTCCCAAAGTTTATGGTAAATGAAATGTCATGTGGGATGTTTTCCAGTGTTTATTTTTGATAAAAATTTAATATATCTGTAAAGTGCTTAAGAGTGCTTACGATATTGTATACTATTCATCCGGTAGATATGTTATTGGAAAAATAAATGTGCGTATAATTGGAAAATTATATTGTACAGTGTATTTTTTCTTGTTTTTAATGTCCATTTAATTTAATCTTCGTTTAACCTTCCTGTCTATGTGTAGTAATGAATATCCGAAACAATATATGAATGGAACAAAATATGAAACACGTAATACAGCAGGCGCGGATCCAGGATTTCTTTTATTAAATTACTACAAAGAAAGAGAAGAAAGAAGATTTTTATAGCTAGGAATCGAAAATGGCCTCAAACCCATTACTAAGGCTTCTGTAGTTTTCGTTTGTAGTACTTCTAATGTAGTATATTCTAGTGAATGAACTACGGAATCCCATTACTGTTACCATGTGAAATAAAATTTAAGAAGAATTAAGTGGCAGCCGCCAGAAAATGTTAATGAACATAGTACAGGAGTGGTAAAGCTAATTATCAAGGTGGACTACTCTTTAATGAACATGGGGTGTTTTTTTAAAAATAATTATTATAACTTATTTATTTATTTATTTATTTATTTGTTTATTTATTTATTTATTTTTTTTTGGGGGGGGGGGGTGGGGGGCAGAGGATAATTTTCCTAGGGGATAATTTTTAGTGGTGGGAGTAATTGTCCACAGGTAGGGGGTAATTGTCCTCGGGAAGTGGTTGTCCTTGAGGTAATTTTCCGGGGGCCGGATAGTGAAGCATTCCATCCACATATCTACATTATTACACCCTTTGTACTTCTATACCCCCTCTCTCTCTCTCTCTCTCTCTCCATTGATTATCCTTTCCTCTCCCCATCTCTCTCTCTCTCTCCGAATTAGCCCCCCCCCCCTCTCTCTCTCTCTATTATCTTTTCCCCTATATTCGCAATGAATTTGGGCTTATCACCATCTGGCACTTTTATTAGTTTTCCAAACCGTTCAGCTCTGTCCTTCACCAACCCACCCCTCTTTTTATTCTCTCTCTGCCCCTGTCGCTCTCTCTCTCTCTCTCTCTCTCTCTCTCTCTCTCTTTCTCTCTATCTCTCTTATCCTGTATTGCCAAAATTATTCCTTCTCCCTCCTCTCTCTCCTTATTTAACTCCCCTAAAACTACACAGGGCAAGTAATGAGTCCCATCACCTTTATTTTGTATAAAGCCTCACAATTTATTCTTGCCTTAGTCTTGATGTTGTTGTCCATTTGGTACATGGATGAACAAGGAGTAGGAATAAAACGCTACTTTAAGATTTCACTGACAATAATGTACTAACAACCATCTGTCCAAAATGTATGCATTTTGGTTTCTCAATTATACCACCACCCTTTCTAGTTATATACCTGTATTTTTTTAGTCTCTTTTTTTTTGTGTGTGTTAAGTTAAATTATATTTCACTTTTTTAACTTTGCATTTTTTTTTACATTTACTTATTTTAGTGTTATGTATTCAATTCAATTCAATGAATTATTTTGTTCAATTAAGTTTATTAATTTCCATGAAAATCACATTACAAAAACACATACATATAATAACATGCAAAATCTTTCACTAGAATATACATAAGTACATTAAAATATTAAACAATAATGGAAAAGGGGAGTTATAAAAACCCCAATAAATGAGTTTGCCGAGATATCTCCCCCAAAATAATTTTAAAAATTGTGATGAACATAATAAAGATTTGAAATTACATAAACTTATTTTGCCCCAAAGAAAACTTGTATAACAACAGAAAAAAAACTAAAAACCATACAATCCCTACAAAAACACACATACACACACACACACACACACACACATATATATATATATATATATATATATATATATATATATATATATATATATAAAGTGGAAAAGTATTCTACCCAAAATCATATGTAATTAGATGCTGCTTTACACTTCTTTTAATTCCATTGTAATTTATTATAGATGTTATGTTATTTGGCAAAGTATTCCATATTGTTGGTGCTTTATGTCTGAAAGAAAATAATAAATAAGATTTTTCAACAACCCATAGATGGTATTTATTTTTATTCCTTGTATTATAAGTATGAGCTGCATTATTGAGTGAAAGCATAATGTTAAGTGAACTGGGCAAAAAACCTTGATTGTGTTTAAATAAGAGAATTAAAATGCAATATTTATTTAGTTGATACCCAGCAAGAAACTTGAGATTCATAAATAATGGTGTTGTTATTCTAAAAGTAATGGTATTGAAAAACAGCTATGCTAAGCTGAAACCATATTTTTTAATCACCGTATTTAAATAAATAAACAAACAAACCTGAGCGTTTAAACGGTCCTTTTTTCTTTCCATTTTCATTTTCATTTTCTTCTTCATCTTCATTCCTTCTTCTCCTTTATCATCTCCTTCCTTTTCTTTATTTTCTTATCTTCTTCTTCTTCTTCTTCGCTTCCAATAATTAACACAATGTTATAAATATCATTTTATTTGTTCCTTTCTTTATGCAAGTCTAAGGTTGAACGTGATGAGTCTTTTTAATTAAAACGTGCCTGTTAAAGTAGAATATTATTGTGTAAATGCACTTTAACACTCATTTTCTTCAATATATTTACCATTTCACAAGTTTCATTCGTTATGAATAAAAACAAATTGCACAACTTCAAGGGATATAATAGTTGAGTTCTTGTTTAAGACCGCAAATGCCTTCAAAGTGCATGGTTATTCCTCTTATTCTTATTCATGACATTTCTAGTGCCCTTTTAGGACCTTAAATTGCTATAAAGGTAATTTTAGACCCCAAAATGTGTGAAATATAAATTAAATTCGAGTACAAATTCAGCTCCACTTTCACAAAAATATGGTGACCTTTAATTAATTAGATAATTAATAATATATAATACACGATCCGGGTGGTTGTGCGTATTATAACCAATATGAAAAGCCAACAAAAAGCCAACAAAAAGCCAATGAACATTGCCATTGGCGGGAATAAAACGTATAAGGCGCTATCTTGTTTTTCAACGGATAGTTCAAAATTATCGAATAAAGAAATGGTTATATTAATGGATATTTCAGCGGTCTCTGAACCGATTTTGATCAAACAAAGATGATTTTGTCATTTGAATTGTATGTTCTTTCAAATCTGACACTCACTTTTTCATTATCTCACCCAAAAAAATATTTTGTGTAGCGCCCTCTTCCACAAAAATCAACTATTCCTTTAATAACAAAACAAAAAAATACATTGAGTATTCTGACATAAAAATAGGATCCCAGCAGTATAAGGGCGCATTAGATAATACACATTTTTATAACAAAATATGATTTGTATCCCAATCGTATTACACAAAAAATACACATTTTGGTCAACCGAAGCCTTTAATATTTTTTAAAAAAATTGTTTTTGCAATATATTTTCCATAACCTGACACGATTTCATTACGATTTTTTTCTTTTTCTTCAAAAGTAATACCTTTATTTTATTTATTTTTTAAATTTAGTTGTAAACATTTTCTTACAATTATTAAAACACAGTTAAAAGCGTTGTTTTGATATCGATAAAAACGGAACAAATGAATTTCGTTCGTTAGTTTGACGTTTATATGTGTAATACGAAATAACCAATGGTCATGCTTAGAATATTACAATACGCTGATAATAATAATAATAATAATTGTAAATTTATAATGCGCAGTTTCTATAAGACACAGATATTGTGTATCGGTTCCTTGAAAAAAACTGTAAATATTGATTTACATCAGGTTCATGGGACTGACATATCGTTGGTTAACGGGGGATTCATAAGGTATTTGGGAATAGACTTTGGTATTGATTTAGAAAAGCTTCCGGATTTCAACTACGACAGAATATTTGATAAACTAAAAAGGCAAATGATATCTTGGTGGAAACGTAACATTTCTGTTTTTGGTCGCGTGGTCTTGGTGAAATTACTGCTAGTCTCGCAATTTAACCATTTATTTATGTCCATTCCTAACCCTTCTGAACATCTTTTAAAAGCAATAAATGTCTCTTTTTTTAAATTTATTTGGAAAGGGAAACCTGATAAGATTAGCAGAAAACAGATGGTTTGTTCTTACGAAAATGGTGGATTGAAAATGGTTGATGTTGTACAATTTTCTAGAGCTTTGAAACTGACCTGGATTAGAAGAATATTGTTGAACTCATGTGAAGACGTTACCCATTTAATGTACGCTTTCTTACGTCCACTATCAGCATTGGAATGGGGTAAAGAAGAGAAGAAGAAGATATGGTACACTTTTTTTACTCCTGTAACGTGACCAAATTGATTTGGAGTCGTTTGACTGACTGGTTAACTATTGTAACACGCTGTAGAATAAAACTGTCCTTAATACATGTTTTGTTAGGTTTCATTGAAAAAAGAAATGATGCTTTAAACTGTATAATAATTTGGACTAAACAACAATTATATTTTTCTCGAATACAAAAGTCTGTACCGTCCTTTCGGACAATAAAACAATATATCAAGAATAGTTACACAAATAAGAGGCAAGTTAGTATATTTGCTAACAAAACTGACAAATTCGATAAAAAATGGATAAATTTTGAGAGGATTTTGATCCTTTAATAGGAGTATATTGAATTTCCCATATCATTTTCAGTCATGATGTTGCATTATTATTTAATTTTTGTTTTTCTTTCCCTTATCTACATGTATGTTCTGTATATACAGTATTATGGTTGATATTCGTTATGTATATCTTATTATGAAATATTGTATGATATTCATTGGAACATGGGTTCAAATATGTTATCTTGAGATTGATTTTCAATAAATGGCCTGTTGGAGGGTTCAAAAAATGGGGAAAAAAAAATGGTCATGCTTAGACCACATTATATTTGAATGTGTTCAGTAACAAAATATATGTGTAACATTTTCTGTACAATATGTAAATCTTTTAAAGGTAACTAATTTGAATTTCAATAATGCATCTTTCATTTAAAGTAGGCATATTCTGTTTACAAAATCTGAATCTGGAATCAACTCATTATTATATGAATGGTTGACTGAAAAGGAATCAAACAATATGAACACTACCTTTTGTATTTAGGGTGTTAAATATACTATGTCCCATTTGCAGGCCAAAAAATGCAAAGGTTAAATTCCAACGGCATTTGACAGACAATTTAGAACTTCCCTCGAAACGAAAGGGCTTGAAAATGGCTTTTAGTGGGAAAATAACGACCATTAGTTGTCGAATCGACTTAAGTGATTGTAATCACTTAATAGTCTGATTTTCAGACTCTTTTACCGAATGGCCGTACGTTTTATGCTGCACAAAGATTCGACCAGTTTAATTTTGGCCATTACAAGTAGTGGGTTATTGATGTAGACAAAAGTTCACGTACCTGTTACAGCTCAATTTATGTAAGTTATTACCAAAGAAAAAAAGATGCCAGTCAGTCACTCAACAGTGTCTGACAGTGAAGTCAAGAAGGTAAACGGGTTTCCTTGCATAATTTGAATACTAGGACACTGCTGATGTTTACAATTAGGACATACATGACATATTCATAATTCCTGCAAATTTCTACAGAATTTGATGTTTGCTGCAAAAAGGACATAGTATCTTTAGCCTTGTTTTCAATTCACATGATGCTGAGCAACTGATAAATATGTAAAAAAACTTTTTTGTTGTCATTCGTAATATGAGAAATAATCCTTTAGGTATAATACACTCTTATTAAAACCAGATCGAATAGAATTACACGATTCATTATAATGAAGGAAACATATTTGTACATCAAATTTGTGTTGAAATTAACAAACTGCTGGCATAGTAGCAAATACAGACAAATAAACGCAATAGAGATACACCGATAAAATATTCACAAAAGGCATGAAAAAGAATAAACCTTGTTTCCAATATGTACAACTATAATATTATTTCACATGAAGTTTTATGAGCGATTGACTAAAGCATGTGAACATTTTTGTTTTCTTTTTTAATAGTAGTAGTAAAATTTCAGGTATAATTCAGGTACCGGTAGGTTCCATGAAATATTCTATGGCACTCTTTTAACAACCAGATCGAAAAGAATTACACGATTCTTTATAATGAAGAACATGTATTGTAGTTTCAACTTCGATTGGGGAATGCATTTACGAATCTAATAAGCGGTTATTAACAAGATTCCACGAACTTATCCTGTCTGGTGTAGATACAGTATGTGTAGTGTAGCGAAAAAAAAATCATCAACATCAGCGTTTAAAGTCCATTTGTCCCACTTTGTGGGGTTGGACATTTCATTTCCTTAATGGCTGCTTTCCAAGCTTTCCTGTCTGTGGGATCCATACGACTGATACCCGATGCTTTGGCATCTTCTTCTATGGTTTCCCTTCCAAGTTTTCCTGGGTCTCCTGCGGGGTCTTCTTCCGGTGACCCGAAAGTTTAGAGCCATCTGGAGCCAGTTTGTTTCCTCTCTTCTTGCCACATGTCCAAACCATCTAAGTCTATTCATCCTCATAACCTGTGCCACCCCATCAGCCCCATTGATTGAAGGAGGACTTTGTTCTTCCTTCTCTCGTGAAGTGATACCCTGCGCATCCACCTCACCATCCTCATCTCAGCTTTCTCTATTCGCTGTACACTGGGTGATTTCATCGCCCATGTTTCGCTCCCGTACGTCATGCATTTTCTAACACAGGCATCATACACCTTCCCCGGCCGTTCACTCTTAACGGGATCGCCCTTGAGGTAAGGAAAGGAGAGAGTTCCCGAAACGTTTTCCAAGTACTTTGGATTCTTGCAGTCACAGCTGCTGTCTCTCCTCCTCTGAAAGTCATCTTCTGAATCTTCTGAAATAAGTCAGCAGGGCGGTATTCCGCATTTCGCTATCCACTTCCATATTCATATCCATTCTTGATGAGAACCTAATTTCGATGTGAGGATATATACCACGCAACTCTGGGGAAACCAATAGATTTAGTACATGTCAATGCGATCATACACACCCGGTGCCATCAGATCGAGCCGTTTTGCAGAGCGTGGTCGGGTCGTTACCATGACAGTGACCTCCTGGAGTGTACGTCCTGACAAGACATCCATGATGCTGTCTCCGCAGTTTTTGCCGTTGAACCCATCAATGAGAATGGTGATTGCTTGAGGCATGTCTTTGAGCAACTGTCGAATCAGGGCTTCATCAACCTCATCAAGATCTACATAGTAAAGAAAATTGAACAATCCATACAATTTGTGAGCTACGTTCTGTTTAGAAAAAGTTTATTGCATTACTATGATATTTTGCAGGTGGATTCCACCATTGCGGACACATGTCCGGTTCTCACGGAAGCACGAACGCCGAAAAAGGGTGTTTTATTGTCATTCGTGGCTGGCCTATCCTTTTAAACTGCCCACGATTGCGTTTAATATTATCCTTTTAAATCAGAGAATGTCATTGCACTTCGCACATCCGTCATTGTGGTGGTAAATAAGTGCACCCCCTCACGCACACATAAATCCGCACACATCTTGCTCGTCCTACTCCTCATTAAATTGATTTTATTATTATACGGTTATAGTTGTACGTTAGCATAATATATATATATATATATATATATATATATATATATATATATATATATATATATATATATATATATATATATATATTTATGTCCTCCTATGTCAACACGTATACATTCGGATGGGTATGTTCTATGTACTGACAACAGTTTTGATTGTATACCTGAAAATAGTTGATGCTTGATAGCACTCTCGATCGTCTGTTTGGGCTTTATGTCATTGGCAGATAGCTCAAAGAGATGCTGCTGTTCTGAGAGGATGCCGGACGCCGTGTTCTGTGTTGCCCAGTCATTTGACAGACTACGACAGAGTGCAGTAAGCTTTGCAGTGTTGCTACCAGACACGATAACTCTCCTCCAATGGTTCCTTGCCATCGGTGATGAAAATATGTCGTGACGTGAATTTTCCATCGGGGAGAATGACGATGATGAGCGATCCCTACGTTTGAGGCCTGGTTGGAAGTCTCGTTTTTGCAGCAAGATCCCATCCGTGAATCTGGCAGGATCTGTGTATATGCGTTCTAGCACTTCAATCACTGTTCAATACGATTTCGAATCAAGAAAAACAATGACAGGTTCATCGCTAGTTATTATGTAAAACCAATGTACTATCTTAGCTTATTTAGGAGCGCTTACATTTACATAGACACCCATCGAGCGAGAGCACTATTAGGTAAGATGAATTAATCACACATTCTAAAGATAAAAGACGTTTTTATAAGTGGGAAAACTATATTATAATTATAATAATAGACTCAGAACTTCTTTCATGATCATGGGAAACGAGCCTTACATTTCTTACAGGGAATAAATGAGAGAATCTATATGCCTCTGAAAATTCGTGTCTAATTTTATATAATTTAAAGGCATTGTGTCCCATTTGCAGACCAAAAAATTGAAAAGGTTAAATTCCAATGGCATTTGAAAGATGATACTTTAGAACTTCCCTCAAAACGAAAGGGCTTGAAAAGTGTTGTAGTGGGAAAATAACGACCATTAGTTGTTGAAACGACTTTAGTGCAGGGCCCTGGGAACGATTTTTTTTTCACCGGGGCTGCTGAGGGGAGGGGGGGGGGGGGTAATGGGACATATATATATATATTTTTGTGTTTCATAATTTGAAAATTTGGTCGGTCGGTATTGGGGGGGGGGGGGTAAGGTCTGTCATTTTGGGTCACCAATTACCACAAATTTTTTTTTATTATTATTATTTTATTTTATTTTTTTATTATATACAAAAATTAAAAAATAAATTAAAAAAAAAAAAAATCGCTTCGAGGGGTAATTTTATAGGATTTTGTGAAAGAAACGTTATAATTGTGTACTTTCTAATCTTCATTTGTGGCTGTCGGCTGTGTGACAATTTTGTAAGCGAAGCATGTAATGATATACAGTAAATATATCATACCAAAACAATTTGCAGGGGTTGCTGTGCTCCCCCCCCCCCCCTGGAAAAGTTCCGGGGGTGCTGCAGCACCCCCGCTTCCCTGGGCCATGCTTTAGTGATTGCAATCCATTTACTAATAGTCTTGATTTTCAGACCCCTGTGCCGAATGGTCGTACATTTATGTGCTGCGCAAAGATTAAATCAGTTTAATTTTTTGCCATTACAAGAAGTAGGTTATTGATGTAGACAAATGCATAGCTCATTTCATGTATGTTATTAACAAAGAAAAGAAGAAGTCAGTCAGTCACTCAATAGTGTCTGACAATAAAGTCTAGAAAGTAAACGGGTTTCCTTGCATAATTCGAAAATTAGGACACTGTTAACGTTTTAAATTTCACAGGTAGGACATATTACGTGACATAATTATGCATAATTCCTGCAAAGCTCTTCAGAATTTGATGTTTGCTACAAATGGGACATAGTACCTTTAAGGTTTTTCAATTTCTTCTCAGTTTGGTATAACAATAAGCCATTTCTTTAAACGTATATTTTTTCATTCTCTCCTTGTCATGACTAAACAAGCAATTGACATGTTCCATGTCTCGAATGATATCCATATTTTTATATTTACCACATAATCTCATCGTATGAAAGCTTTGCGCCATATAATATTTCGCAAGGTAAATTCAATGATTAACAACGGAACGCAACATTTGTGAAATAACTCTTAAGCATGTAATATTACATATTGTTATATCAATTAAATATAACTTTACATTCTAAATTGATATTTATTCAAATTGGAAATATTTCTGAATGTTACAATCTTGCCAAGTTTTAAATGAGGCTAGAAAAAAAATGTAGAATGATAGTCATAATTTCTTAAACGTATCATATAACCAAAATAGGATCAAGTTGCGTCTTATAGAATATATAAAAACCAGAAGTATATGGAGGATTTGGGGTAATTTCATTACTCTGTATTTAATACCATTCATGTTTTCAATGTCTCAGTGAACATGATTTCATTGTTCTGCTCAAATATTAATTCTTACCGAATCACTACAGCGCCATTTCACTGGAGTAGGACAATCACATTGTATACATATAACAATGAGTAAGAAGATCGGAAATAACAAACAGTGCGTTTAGAAACACAAGTCTCTCTCTGTACATTTCTGGTGCTTTTCTTCCTGTATTTGATGTTGAAATTAATCTATGTTTTTAAGACTTATCATCTTTTGCAATAATTCACATGGATGGATTAATGTTAATATAAATTTTGAAATGAGGACAACATTTAAATGTTGAATAGATCATCAGCAAAAAACCACTTATCGAATAAATATTATTAGGAATATATCCCATACTTACTTCCTGTGAACGAAGATCAAGGGAAGAAGAAAAAAGATAGAATTACAGATAAGCATTGACTTCATGTATAAATCATGTTCCTCTTTTGGTAGAGAACGGGAGGGCAGTTTCGGTTATTCATTTCGCTATTATTCCTCGTTAATTCATCCTTATCTTAGTTAGTTTTCATGATAAAAATGGATTACCGAACACTTGTTTTTATTGTTTTGACACAAACCCTTTCGTACCGAAGCACTGCAATTATACTATTTCTTTTTAAGGAGGGTATAGACATCAGATTCATTTACAAATCCTCATGAAGATAAAAGTTGTAAATTTAAATTGCAAAACTGATATGAGAAATGTTAGATCTATATATATATATATATATATATATATATATATATATATATGATACCATTTCCCATGCCTATATTTACGTATCTCTTTATATTGTTTCCATACATTCTAAAACTATTATGTGGGTAAAATATCAAATAAAACAGGATTTACTTTAAGAATACCATTCTGTGACAAATATTCAACATGTAATAACCATATACATTATATATAATTGGCCAAAATCAATTGGCCGTGAAGAAAGATCGAAGCAAATAAAAAACGAGATCTAGATCAATAGTTATATACCGTACAAATAGGCTTTTTCTTCGAAAGTCGCAAATCATTATCAGGCGCGGATCCAGGGGGGGGCCGAGCGTGCCTTGGCCCCCCCCCCCCGCAAAAAAAAAAAAAAAAAAAAAAAGGAGAGAGAGAGAAGGAAAAGAAGGGAAAGAAGAGAGAAAGGGAAAAAAGAAGAGGAAGAAGAAAAGAAAAGAGGGAAGAAGGAGATGGGGGGGGGAGGACCTGCCTCCCCCTCCCCCCCCAATAAAAAAATAAAAGAGAATTAAGGAAAGGGAAAGAAAAAAGATAAAGAGGAGATAAAGGGAAGGACAAAATAGGAAGAAGAAAAGAAAAGAAGGGGAATATCAGTTGTAATTTTCCCGCCAACAAGTTGTGGATCGAGGGGGGGGGGCGCAAAAGACCCTACCCTACCCCCCCCCCCCGTCCCCGCTAAAAAAAGAGAGAAGGAAGGAAAAGGAAAAGAGGAGAGCTAAAAGGGAACAAAAAGAGGAAGAAAAAAGAAAAGGGAGAAAAGAAGCGGAGATCAGTTGCGGTTAATCCCGCCAACAATGTGTGGAGCGGGTTGGGGACCAAAATGACCGTGCCCCTCCCCCCCCCCCCAGCAAACCTAAAAGAGAGATAAGGAAGGGAAGGGAAAGTGAAAGAGGAGAGAAAGGGAAAGGAAAAAAAAGAGAATGAAGAAAGGTAATTGATATCAGTTGCAATTTTCCCGCCAACAAGGTGTAGATCGGAGGGGGGGGGGGGGGGGGGACTGGCATACTGATAGGGGAGGGGGGGGGGGGTTGGAGAAATAGAATTCAAACGTGGTTTATTTATAATTCCATAACGGTGGTTAACAAATAATGCTGAAATGAGATAATTTTCCTCACTTCATGCGTTTGTTGGAAAATGACATATTCCTAAATTTACAGCCAGGCAAGAAAATGCTTCTTGAGATGCCTACATATCAGGGCCCGCGGAACGGCGGGGATCGGGATCCTCGAGCCTCTCCCCCACACTTTCTTTGAAAAAGTATATTAAAGAGAAATAGAAAGAAAGAGAGCGAGAAAGAAAAAATAGTTAACTGCCAGTGTCACATTATAATGGGGTATCGAAATATGCTCATCTGACCATGATTAAAATTAATGCCTAAAATCCTAAGGGCTCTGCCCCCTGGATTCCACGGTTTTTTATGTGTGTATTTTGGAGAACCCCCCCCCCCCTTTTCTGTGGTTTTTTTTTTTTTTAATTAAAAAAAATAATAAAAAAAATATTGCCAATTGGCTGACCTAAAAAAGGTGACCTCACCCCCTCCCCCAACGGAACAAAATGTCAAATTTTCAAATTTCGAGACCAAAAAAAAAAGTAGTGTCCTCTTCCCCCCCCCCCCCCCCCGCTTATTTAGCGGCTGGCTTAGTCGTTACGATTTTTTTTCGGACCAAAAAAAAAAAAGTGGGCCCCCCCCTAAGAAATCCTGGATCCGCGCCTGATCATTATCATTTATCATTTCTACAGCGCATTATATTCTTTTAAAAGCTCTTGAGAAAAAGGATGACACATTATATTTGAACTTATCTTAATCAATTACTATTATTTGAAATTACAACATTTGAAATTAGAAATTGTACGTCGAAAAAAAACTTTCTGATAAGCTGCAATTTTTGTTCTCTCTTTCAGTTTGGTGTTAAATTGTTTTTACTTTCAAGATTCTTTGTCTTTATTAACTAAACTGTTTTACATTTAACAATAATATTTACAGACGTCATGTCTGAGAGTACTCAGCTAAATTTGTATAAAACAAAATGAATCAATGAACTATAACTTCCAAAATGAGAAAAATGAATGAAAATGCATATAGTGACCAGGATTTTATCAAGATGGGAGCATTATAAGCTATTTCTAAATTTGTTTTAATGTATCTTCATGTTGCATTCTGTTGGAATCTAAGTAAGAATATCAACCTCTCGGAATTGTTCAGAAAAAAAGAATGAAAAGGAAATTCTTTATATTAGACATGTAAGATAGGTCAGCAAAATTAAAACACTTATCAAATAAATCTTATAGGAATATGTCCCATACTTACCGACTGTGAACGAAGATCAAGGGCAGAAGAAAAAAGATAGAATTACAGATAAATAGACAACATGCAGTAGCGTCCGCAGGAATTTTTCAAGGGGGGGGGGGGTTAAAATCTGAAAATCGCGCCTCAAATTTCGCAACGACTCAGCTAGCCGCTGAATAAGCGGGAGGGGAGGGGGTAAGATCAGTTTTTTTTTTAACAGAAAAGTGAGGGGGTTATCCTCCGATACCCACACATTAAAACAAATTGAGGGGGTTAACCCCCCCCCCCCCCCCCTGCGTACGCGCCTGACTACATGCTCATGTTCCACTTTTGGTAGAGAACAGGAGGGAAATTTTGGTTAATCATTTCCTCAATATTTCTCAAGAGTTCGTGTCCTTTATTTAAAGTATTCATGTTAACAATGGCTCAGCAAACAATTGTTTTTATTGTATTGCAAGAATGTCTCTCCGTATCGGAGCCTTGAATTCCGAATTTTCGAATTCCGTTTTATTGTATCTTCATATTGCATTCTGTTTGAATATTTGTAAGAATGTTAACCTCGTGGAATTGTTCATGGAAAATGAATGAAAAGTGAATTGTTCATATTGGACACGTAATACAGGTCAGTAAAATTACAATATCAAATAAATATCATTGGATTATATCCCATACTTACTGACTGTGCAAGAAGATCAAGGGGAGAAGAAAAGAGATAGAATTAAAGATAAGTATGGACTATATGTATAAATCATGTTCCTCTTTTGGAAAAGAACGGGAGGGCAGTTTCGGTTATAATCAGTACTTTATTATTCGTCGCGAGTTCATGTCCTTTATCTTAGTTAGTTTTCACGCTAACAATTGATTCGCAAACACTTGTTTTTGTTGTGTTTGTCACAAATCCTTCCGTTCCGAAGCACTGCAACACTATTTCTTTTAAAGAGGATATGGAAATCAGATACATATAAATATTGGACATGTAAGACAGGTCAGCAGAATTAAAACACTTATCAAAAAGATATTATAGGAGTATGTCCCATACTTACCACGCACTGTGAAACAAAGATCAAGGGCAGAAGAAAAAATAGCATTACAGATAAGTACAGACTATAATTATGTATAAATCATGTTGCTCTTTTGGTAGAGAACGGAAGGGGAGTTTCCGTTAATCATTTCGTTATTATTTCTCGAGAGTTCGTGTCCTTTAATTTAGTTAGTTTTTTGGTTTTAACAATGGCTTAACATACACTTGTTCTTATTGTATTGCAAAAATGTCTGTTCGTAACGAAGCACTGTAACACTATTACTTTTAAGGAGGATATGAAAATCAGATACAATCATATACATTTTCTTATGAAGATAGAAGTTGTAAATTTAAATCATCAAACTGATATATAAATAGGCTTTTTCCTTGATAACCGTAAAAAATATCATATTACATTTGTACAGCGCATAACAGTGTTTTAAAAGGTCTTGACAAAAATGACACCTCATATAGGAACTGACATATCAAATAAATATATAAGGATAAAGTTCCATACTTACGTTCTGTGAACGTAGATCAAGGGAATAAGAAAAAAGAATTACATAATATAATACAGACTACATATATAAATCATATAGCTCTTTTGGTAGAAAATGGGAGGGAAGTTTCGGTTAACCATATCGTTATTATACAAGTTATAACACTGGGTTAGCAAACACTTGTTTTTATTGTTTAGCCACAAACCCTTTCGTTTCGAAGCGCGGTACTGTAACACAATTTCTTTTAAGGAGGATATGGAAATCAGATACATATAAAAATCCTTATGAAGATAAAAGTTGTAAATTTAAATAATAATAATAATAATAATAATAATAATAATAATAATAATAATAATAATAATAATAATAATAGCCTAATAATCCACTCCAAATTTTATTAAACCGAAATACTGACATATGAGAAATGTTATATCAATATGTGATTCCATTTCCCATTTCTACATTTACTTATCTCTTTTTCTTGTTTCCATACATTCTAAAACTATTGTTTTGTGTAAAATGTTAAAAAAAATTAAGAATAACATTTCCTGAAAACTTAACAACATGTAATGCTACTATATTTTTAATTTACAATTAGGCTGCCTCATGTTTCACCTGAATAACAACGAACTGCCCCAGGCACTATCTTATTTGTTCAAAAAAAAGAAATCAAGTCCACGAATGTTCTACCCGACAGGCGTTTTCCTATCACCTTCCTAGAACGAGAACAAGCTTTGCTCAAAACACCTTAATATATACAGGTCCTAAGTTCTGGAATTATCTCGATTCTGTGATTAAAAGGTCTGTAAGTGTACATGTATTCAGAAGAAAATTGAAAAGTTATTATTTGAATACATATTGTCATTCCTGACTATTCTTGTCTCCAAACTGCATACTTTTGTTCATTACAATGAGTAACTAACGGTATGACCATACCAACTATGTTTATAATATACTCATATCGAGAACAAACTATATTGTAATATTGTTTCAATAAGCTTTTCCTTGTCTTTTGTAGTTAATTGTGAGTATCGGTTCATGTATCCCTGTAATCCCCCTTTCCCTGTTTTAGCGTGTATTTGTATTTTATAAACTTTACTTTAGTTAATTATGTCATTTTTAGTTTAAGGAGCCTATCCACAACAAGCTCTGCTTTTCCATAGGCTCCGCCACTTTATCTCTTAAGTTAAACTTAATGGACAATATTTTGAATAGTGGGTACCGGCATTCTATGTACATGTATAAAATAATCATTTTCAATATGTTGTTACACTCTTTGTAAAATGAGATATTGTGGAAACCAATAAACTATCTATATCTATCTATCTATCTATATGTAGTCTATGAATGTGGAACACGTGATCTTGATGACAAAATTTCACTTAAATTGCATAATGATATGAAAAAGGATGTCATTCATTATTAAAACACACTTACAACAGAAAACCCGGACTTTGTATCCTGTCATCAATATTCGTCTTCGAATACATTTTAGGGGTAAATCTCTGCAGGAGTGTATGTTTATAACATCCTCGTTCACATCATTATAGAATTGAAGTGACATTTTGCGATCAAATTTTTGGCAGTTTCGGTTATAATCAGTACTTTATTATTCGTCGCGAGTTCATGTCCTTTATCTTAGTTAGTTTTCACGCTAACAATTGATTCGCAAACACTTGTTTTTGTTGTGTTTGTCACAAATCCTTCCGTTCCGAAGCACTGCAACACTATTTCTTTTAAAGAGGATATGGAAATCAGATACATATAAATATTGGACATGTAAGACAGGTCAGCAGAATTAAAACACTTATCAAAAAGATATTATAGGAGTATGTCCCATACTTACCACGCACTGTGAAACAAAGATCAAGGGCAGAAGAAAAATAGCATTACAGATAAGTACAGACTATAATTATGTATAAATAATGTTGCTCTTTTGGTAGAGAACGGAAGGGGAGTTTCCGTTAATCATTTCGTTATTATTTCTCGAGAGTTCGTGTCCTTTAATTTAGTTAGTTTTTTGGTTTTAACAATGGCTTAACATACACTTGTTCTTATTGTATTGCAAAAATGTCTGTTCGTAACGAAGCACTGTAACACTATTTCTTTTAAGGAGGATATGAAAATCAGATACAATCATATACATTTTCTTATGAAGATAGAAGTTGTAAATTTAAATCATAAAACTGATATATAAGAAATGTTAAATCAATATATGACACCATTTTCCACTGTCTACATTTTCTTATCTCTTTATAGTGTACCTCCATACATTTTAAAACTAATGTTTTGTGTTAAATGTCCAAATAAAAAAAGAATTTACATTAAGAAAAACAGTCTCTGACAAATAACCAACATTTAATAACCATATCGATTAACAAAAAATGGCCAAAATCATGGGTCATGAAAAAAAAATGAGAGGTAAAAGAAATGAGATCTTGATTAATAAAGATGTATACTGTACAAAAAGGCTTTTTCCTTGATAACCGTAAAAAATATCATATTACATTTGTACAGCGCATAACAGTGTTTTAAAAGGTCTTGACAAAAATGACACCTCATATAGGAACTGACATATCAAATAAATATATAAGGATAAAGTTCCATACTTACGTTCTGTGAACGTAGATCAAGGGAATAAGAAAAAAGAATTACATAATATAATACAGACTACATATATAAATCATATAGCTCTTTTGGTAGAAAATGGGAGGGAAGTTTCGGTTAACCATATCGTTATTATACAAGTTATAAAACTGGGTTAGCAAACACTTGTTTTTATTGTTTAGCCACAAACCCTTTCGTTTCGAAGCGCGGTACTGTAACACAATTTCTTTTAAGGAGGATATGGAAATCAGATACATATAAAAATCCTTATGAAGATAAAAGTTGTAAATTTAAATAATAATAATAATAATAATAATAATAATAATAATAATAATAATAATAATAGCCTAATAATCCACTCCAAATTTTATTAAACCGAAATACTGACATATGAGAAATGTTATATCAATATGTGATTCCATTTCCCATTTCTACATTTACTTATCTCTTTTTCTTGTTTCCATACATTCTAAAACTATTGTTTTGTGTAAAATGTTAAAAAAAATTAAGAATAACATTTCCTGAAAACTTAACAACATGTAATGCTACTATATTTTTAATTTACAATTAGGCTGCCTCATGTTTCACCTGAATAACAACGAACTGCCCCAGGCACTATCTTATTTGTTCAAAAAAAAGAAATCAAGTCCACAAATATTCTACCCGACAGGCGTTTTCCTATCACCTTCCTAGAACGAGAACAAGCTTTGCTCAAAACACCTTAATATATACAGGTCCTAAGTTCTGGAATTATCTCGATTCTGTGATTAAAAGGTCTGTAAGTGTACATGTATTCAGAAGAAAATTGAAAAGTTATTATTTGAATACATATTGTCATTCCTGACTATTCTTGTCTCCAAACTGCATACTTTTGTTCACTACAATGAGTAACTAACGGTATGACCATACCAACTATGTTTATAATATACTCATATCGAGAACAAACTATATTGTAATATTGTTTCAATAAGCTTTTCCTTGTCTTTTGTAGTTAATTGTGAGTATCGGTTCATGTATCCCTGTAATCCCCCTTTCCCTGTTTTAGCGTGTATTTGTATTTTATAAACTTTACTTTAGTTAATTATGTCATTTTTAGTTTAAGGAGCCTATCCACAACAAGCTCTGCTTTTCCATAGGCTCCGCCACTTTATCTCTTAAGTTAAACTTAATGGACAATATTCTGAATAGTGGGTACCGGCATTCTATGTACATGTATAAAATAATCATTTTCAATATGTTGTTACACTCTTTGTAAAATGAGATATTGTGGAAACCAATAAACTATCTATATCTATCTATCTATCTATATGTAGTCTATGAATGTGGAACACGTGATCTTGATGACAAAATTTCACTTAAATTGCATAATGATATGAAAAAGGATGTCATTCATTATTAAAACACACTTACAACAGAAAACCCGGACTTTGTATCCTGTCATCAATATTCGTCTTCGAATACATTTTAGGGGTAAATCTCTGCAGGAGTGTATGTTTATAACATCCTCGTTCACATCATTATAGAATTGAAGTGACATTTAGCGATCAAATTTTTGGAATTTGAGGCCCCCAACGCTTTGGAGGGGCTTTAAATGTCTCATTATTGTTAAAAATCATTAATTGATAACACGTAATTATTAAGTATAATTTAAAGGACAATACTTATATTTAATTAGCTTGTTTCTGATTTCGACACCTGTATTTGCTTATGTAATTTGAACAGTATATGGTTAACTACCTTTACAGCGTTGATGAGAAGGATACCTTTGTAAAATAATTCGACGTTTGTGAAATGTTTGTTTGGGGTTTGAACAGATTTTCCCCCCAATCAATATGTTTCTCGGTTTTTTGTTGTTGAGAATATTCTCCAAAGTCGCTTTTGTAAAGATGTCAATTATTCAGCCCCTTCTCCATAATTACAATTATTTGAAACTAAAATCTGGGAATATATTAAATTACAGTTCTAACAGTTCTATTTCAACGCTCCTTGCTTTTGCCTTTTGTGCGAGTATGTTTTAATGAATTCTCTCATTTATATCTTTAAAAAATCCCAAAATACTAATTTATTCAAAATCTGTAATGACCATTCAGATTTTAATTCCTGTATTTCCTTATTCACCTCTTCAACAAAATCTTTATCCATACATAAACTACTGTTAAATTTCCAATATGATTTCCCCAAAACAAACTTATCAACCAAATCATTAAATTCTAGCCCAACGCCAGAATGATCTGGCGTAATAGATTTTTCAACACTACAAGGTATAAACCAATAATCTAAACGGCTTTGCACAACCGGCCAATTTTGTCGAAAAGTAAACTGCTTTACATTCGGAATTTTTTTCTCCATATATCTTCTAAATCGTATTTATTTAAAAATTCCTTAATCAAATCAATAACCCGAGATTTCACAGGTGTTTTTGACCCCACATAATCTAATTTTCCATCCAATATACTATTGAAATCCCCTCCTAATAAAACTAAATAGTTCCGATCACACTGATCATCACTGAAAATAAGCATTAACCAATAGCATTTTAACCCTTTGTATTTCACCTTTAAAAATAATGTATCTCCCCTCTTCATCTACTTCAATTTTGTTTTCTTCAAAATCTAAATGATTAGAAAATAAAATAAGAACCCCTCTACTATGGTTTGACCCAAGACTAAAAAACATTGGCCCTCCCCAATCTTGTTTCCACCGCTCTTCTATCTCTACTGTACTATATGTTTCTTGTAAGAAAATTATACTATTCTTTTTAGTTTTGCACCATTCAAAAATATTCACTCTTTTTAACCTATCTCTTATTCCTCTAACATTTATTGTCATGAAAGATAATTTCACTGCCATGTTATTTTGTGTGTAATTGTATCCAAAACCTTACATCCATAAACTCCAGCAAATGTATAGAAAAAACTATCTGCAGCCAAACATACATGCATACTTATCGTCGAATTATATTTTAAAAGATGTAAGCAGACTCCACCCCGTACCACACAACCCACCACATTCATACACACAAGCATATTCACTACACACACAACACCCCCACACAAAACAACCCAAATCTGCTCTTCGGTATACACAATACGTATACATCCGAGAGCAAGAGCCTCCCCCTTTCCCTGTCAATTTAACTAGACCAATGACAGAACTCCTCATCTCAATTCTAAACATTTCTTCTTGCACAAGTCGATGAGAAATACGTTGTATTGTTATATAACCGTAATCTAATTTAAAAAAAATATTACAAATGGCTTTTATCCCTTAACAAATGCCTTGAATTGTAATACGGAACCTCGTCATAACTAAGTTAAATGATTTTCCTAAAATGCATTACAGTGAATAGGCCATTTTCGTAATGTAACTAAATTTAATGCATAAGTCTTTGTGGAGTGCCTCAATACAAATTATTTCATTCACCTGGTAAGAATAATAGTATTTCAATAGACATAATCCAAACTGCATACATTAATCGTTGCCAGGTCGGACAAACATTATGGCTTGACCTACCTAGCAACACTTGATATATGCAGTTTGCATTCTGACTATTGAATTACTATTATTCTTATCAGGTGAATGAAATAATTTGTATTGAGGCACTTCACAAAGACTTGTGCATTAAATTTGGTTACATTACGAAAATGGTCTATTGACCGGCCCGCGTACCTAATCACAATACGCACCTTCTAATTAAAAATAAAAACACGATCCCAATAAACCAAATTCCCCCAAACGACACCAGTTCGGCATCCCAATAAACTGTTCATGTTAACCGAACCCATCATGCTATCATTTACCAAGTTCTATAATTTGCATAATATGCCTCACCAATGAATAAATAGACCGGCTCACGCACCTGATCATTTTGTATGCACTCCCTAAAAAAAACTCCTAAAGGGCGTTCCCGACAACTCGAAAGAACACCAAACGTCAGCCCGACATAATGATAGGCAAGCATGCATACCGGATTCCAACACGTTCCTCCCTCTCAAAACATCACACCACCACCTGGCTTTAAAAAATAGTTTTGGCTGGGTGAGCAGATCGGACCATTATCCAGATACTCGAATTGTTTTCACTTTACAGAAAAAGTTTTAAATATGTATCAGTCATTAACTAAGATATGTGAATTTACACACACACACACACACGCACACACATGAATAAGGGAAACATTAACTATGAACTAAAATAATTTCAATAAAATACAAGTATATGAAAAAAATTCGATTAATTAAATTATGTAAGTCTACTTATTACCAATGCCTTTACATTGGAAATACAGACGTACCAGTATTGAAGTGTTGTTGCCGTTCAACTGGTTGGAAGTTTTACCAAATGGTTCTAATGGCTCAGCTAGACCAGTTGAATTCTAACTGGCCTGGATCAACTGGATCATTTAGCCCATTTCAATTTCCAGGGTTAAAAGTTGGCATTAACTGGTTCTTCAACTGGACCAGTTGCAACTAGCTTTTTCTTATGGGGTGTTTGCATCCCCCCAACCCCTCCAATCCCAAACTGCTTCCGGCGCGCCTGGACGTAATTATGGAAGATCCAAAACACGATGTTCAAAAACGGGATGAGAAAGTCATTATTTTGGTTCTTTTATTGTGTAACATTTGCGTAATTATTGGGTTGAACGCGGGTTATAGTAACATATTTCCTCTTCGACGTAAATTTCACGTGAATGAAGAACATGATTCATCTCAAGTCAGCCTCTTAATATTCACGTGAATTTCACGCAGATATTTTGACTAAAACTATCACTAACGCCTCACGTGTTTCTGTGACGCGATTCTAAAACTTCTTAAGAATGTGATAATTTCGTTTATGAAGATGTAATTTCATAACCAAACAAAAACGGGAGTATTAGGTTTACAAACCATGGTCTCAATTGCGTGATTTAGTGTACGTGATTTATAAGTGACCTAGTGCAAGAAACGTGTTAACACAATCACGTAAATGTCAAGTGTTTGAAGAACGTAAATCTGTTCAAGTCGATACCT